GGATTTCCCGGGGAGTGAAAAGGGTCCAGATATCATCGAAAAAATTTTCCCTTAAAATTTAAGAAATTTATTTTGTTCTGCGAAAATAAAAGCTTTGCTGTTTTTTGCAGAACTTAAATCCTTGGGAATTTTTTTTCCTTTTTCTAAATGCAACAAAATTTTTTATAAACACAAAAAGATTTTTTAACCCGAAAATTTAAATTCTACTAGGGGAGTTTTTTTTTGTGATGAAATTCTTTATTAAAAACCCGTCACCATAAAACATTTTGCCCACAAAGATTGGTAAAAATCAGAAAAAAAAATAAAAATTAATAAGAAAATTAATCAAGAAAAATAAAAATTTTAACCCTGCAAAAAAATTTTTTGGTTTAAAGTCCCACCAAACAATTTAAATCATAGGGCGGGAAAACAAAAAACTTTTTTGTGCTTTTTTTTTCAATTTTATATAAAAAAAATCCTTTTTCATTTTGAAATTTTATTTTCTAGAAGTGACAGAAAGATTCTTTTAAACACTGCCATCTATGAACAACTCAAAAACCCAAATATATAAAAAATTTATTTTTGCGTTTTTTTTAAAAGGGTTTCCGTTTTTCCCCTTTGATTAAAAAAATTTTTTTAAATTTTTTGCCTACATTGAAAAAAATAATGTTGTAAAAAAATTTATTTATAAGCAGTTTCAATTTAACTTTTTCATGAAAAATAAAGGATAACATTTTAGGGGGATCCCAAAAAAAGCAAATAATAAAAAATTAACCACAGGACTTTGAAAAACTCCGGGTTTGTTCTTCAGAATTAACAAAATTTGCGCAGCATAACATACGAGATCCTATCACTCGACCATACAGTCAGTTCACATACAAACAGCGAATCTAATTATGATAAAATGAAAAAGTTGTTAATATAAGGTGTTCGATTTTGTGAATCTTCGTAAGTAATGAACTAAAGATATGAAAACTAAAATAAACTTTTGAATTATTTGAAAATAAATGATATTAATAATGTTGATTGCTCTTGTTCAATAACAAAAATCATTTAATGAAAATAATGTTCACTTTAATTATCATTATGATGATAATAATCACCTTGACAGGACCTGGCCAGTAAAATATTCTTTGTTTTGTTTATTTCGTCTTCGTTTCTACTATCCCATGCGACAAAATGTTGTTCATTGCTTGCAAGTTTTACCCATGACTCTGCTTTACTTGCTGTTTTTTCTTCTGCTAAGACAACAAACGTTTTCAGTTTCCTGAGCTTTTCAAAACCATTTTCTTCATCACGTATTACAGTTTTTCTATTGACTAGCAGATAAACAAGCTGTGCTTTACTTGAATTACGTTTGTGATATGAGAGTGCCTTTAGTATATCTGCATACGACACTACATGATTCAAAGAGATTCCGGTTAATTTAAGATTCGCCCGCCCAAAAGTAGATCTTCTTGCTTCAAAAAAGCAATCTTTTAAAATTTTTTGTCCCAAAATTTGACGAGGATCGCTTTTGTTTTTTAGGGGAAATCATTTTTAACACACAAAATCTTTTCATTTTTTAAAATGAAACATTCCCTCACACCATTTTCCAAAAATTTAACAAAAACGTGACATATAAGCCATTTGGGAAATTTTTCCCTAAAACATTAAGTAATCATTGAACTTTTTTCAATTAATAAAACTCTTTTTTTTTTTTGACTTAATAAAGAAAAAGCATAACCAAGCAAACATTTTAATAAAAAATAGATTATTAATAAACAAAAAAAATGCTTTTTATGGTCCGACCCCAAAAATTCTTTTGTATTTGATTTGTTTGTGTAACATTTATATTTTCTATTTGGATGGCTTACTAGCACACAAACTAAACAAGACCCGAAGGATGGTTTATATTTTTATTATATGTGTTGCATCCAAGTATACACTCATAAACTCCCAAACATCAAGTAAACATACACACAGTAACAATAACGATATTTGATATTAAAGGCGTGGCTTATTATATCTTGTAGACTTGCTTACAACAACTTCAGAAAATTATCAACACCTGGCAGAAAAGAATGGATCTCCACTGACACCTGGAACCTTATAAGGGAGAGGAAGGTCATTAAGCAACAGATGCTAACAGGAAGTCCCGAAGAGAGATCAAGGGCAGCAGAAGCTTACTCTGAGAAGAACAAAGCTGTTAAGAAGAGTGCAAGACAGGACAAAAGAGACTACACTAACAGTCTAGCAGTGGAAGCCCAGCATGCTGCAGAAAAGGGTGACTCCAGAACAGTCTACAAAATCACAAAGACCCTTACTGGAGGATTTACCAACAGTTCCACCAATTGTGAAAGATAAGAATGGAAATGCTCTAACGAAAGAATGAAGAACAACTAGAAAGATGGGCTGAGCACTTCGAAGAAATCCTTAACAGGCCAGACCCGGAGAGGAAGCTGCTGTTGAAGACATGGATTCCATATAGAGATGAAGCGTGGCAGTATCACCCAGCACAAATCATAGAGGCCATCAAGCAGACGAAAAGGAAACAAAGCTCCCGGGAAGACAAATCACTTCAGACATGTTGAAAGCTGACCCCGAGAAGTGCAAAGCACCTTGTGGAACTATTCAACAAGGTTTGGGAAGAAGACAGAGTCCCTGACTCATGAAGAAGGGGTGTCATCGTGAAACGCCGAAGAAGGGAGACCTGACTCAGTGCGGCAACTGGAGGGTATCAACTTGTTATCCGTTCCTGAAAGATATTCTGCAGAGTTCTTCTATCAAGGATGAAGCAGTCTGTTGCAGAGAGTCCTCAGAGAGGAGCAAGCAGGGTTTCGGAGCGGAAGAAGCTGCAAACCACAGACCAGAATCTTCATTCTTCGAAAATGAGTGGAGCAGTCCCTTGAATGGAACTCTTCATCTATACATCAATTACATAGATTATGAAAAGGCGTTCGACAGCATACACCACCCATCATTGTGGAAATACTCTAGCATATGGATTTCCGCCAAAAAGTTTGTCAACATCCTTAAGGACATGTACGCCAACAACCAGTGCTGTGTACGTCATGATGGACAGCAAAGCGAATGGTTCCACGTAAAACTTGGTGTACGCCAAGGCTGTGTTTATTTCACCAACGCTGTTCCTTGTTTGTAATTGACTGGGTGATGCGGAAAGCAACTGAAGATAGACACAGAGGTCTAGTATGGGACTGACTGCGCTTGGAAGACTGTGATTTTGCTGACGACATCGCATTGCTCTCCCATGTACAAAATGATTATGCAGAGAAGACAGATCGTGTCAGCAAAACTGCCAAGGTGTAGGACTTAAAATACACGCTGGGAAAACAAAGCTGATGAAGGTGAAGACCAAAAGCAGCCAGAAAATCAGCATCAACAACACTGAGTGGAAGAGGTGAAAGACTTCAAGTACCTTGGGAGTTACATCTCAGCTGATAGTAACATTGAGAAAGAGATCTCAACCAGGATTGGACTTGCAGCCCAGGCATTCAAGAGACTACAGAACATATGGAAGTCTACAGCCCTGCATACCAAAACAAAACTGAAGATCTACACATCCAATGTCCGCTCAGTCCTTCTGTACGCGTCTGAGACCTGGAAACCAACACCAAGGTGAGAGTAGGCTAAGAGGCTTCGAGAGTCGCTGTCTACGCCGCATTCTCAAGATCCGCTGGCAACAACATGTCACTAACGTAGAGTCAACAGACGCTCCGGGATCACCAACATTGTTCAAGAGGTCAAGTCCAGACGATGGAGATGGCTGGGTCATGTTCTGAGGATGAACAAGCAGAGACATCCTCACAAAGTACTGAGATGGACACCACAGAGGCCAGAGGAAGAGAGGTCGTCCACTAGGCACCTGGAGGAGAACCATCGAAGAAGAGATGAAGCAGCAGGCAAAAAGACCTGAACGAGCTGAACTGGTTAGCTCAGGACAGGGATGGCTGGAGGAGATTTGTTGGTGCCTTATGCTCCACCTGGAGCGAAGAGGATTAAGTAAGTAAGTAGACTTGCTTACTACATCCTCCTCTTTCTTTAGTTTAGAACTCATCAATAAAAGCAATAAACTTAAATCATCAAAACTTTCAATTTAAATGTGCAAACATATTGTAATAGAAATATTTTTCTTTTCGTATGAAATAAGCTATATAGCAAGTCTATTGTTATAAACTCTTCTCCTTTTTCAGCAGAGTTCCTTAACCAATGCGATTTACTCTAATCAGTGTACTAGGCATCTGTTTCAACGAAGTAGTGATCAGTTAATTGTCATATCTCTTTCTATTTTTCGTAATGTCACAAAATATCAAGCAAATTACAACTAGCATTGTTATCAAAAGAATGATTTGTTTTTCCGTTCTACCACACAAGAACCAATTATAAGGTAATTTAATAAAAACCAAAAGTATTAATTTCACGAATAACAGAATGTTCTCACATACGCTATCATTTTTCCTAAGATTAATAAATCCAGCAAGCGGATATAAATGATACACTGCTATGATAGCAAATATAATTAGGGCATTATTATGGCCCACACATTTGAGTCATTAACCTTGTTAGCTGTGACGAGAAATGGTATCATAGATTGAACCATTTTCTTTTTTCTTTTAATCTTCATAACGTCTCGGCGGTCGGCGTTTCCTCTGTTGCCTATTTTTAGGTAAAGATGTATTATCTGCAGGTTTCGTCTGCATCGGCTCTTGATCTCCATGAACATATCTAAACTTGGAAACGTCCCGTGTGATTTCTTTTCCTTTATGTTTGATTGTAAGCATAGATCCTTTCATAGCGATGATTATCCCGGGGTGGGGGTCAAAAGCTGTTTCAAACTTATGCCGTTGTTCCCGTTTTAATAGCACACGATCTCCCAGTTTCAAATTATTTGGCTGAGCTCGACGTTTCTTACCAGCGTATATTTTGTTTTTCGTTTTTGATAGACTCTCCCTGTCTCGAATATCTGTGTTTTTTGTTGTAAAATGTCATTTGTAATTTTGTCTTTAATTACGATTGAACATTTATTCACTAGGAGCTGTTTGTGTAGTTGTTTGTGGTGTGTTCCGAAAATTCATAAGATATCTACTTAACGCTCTTTTATAATTTTGTCTGGACGCTATCGCTGTTTTTAATTGCTTTTGCAGTGGCGCCATAAATCTCTCAACTATTCCATTTGCCTGTGGGTGCAATGGAGTGATTCGTTTATGTTTGAATCCCGAATTATCAGCAAATTCTCTGAATGCGCGACTTTGAAACGGAGGTCCATTGTCCGTTTTCACTACCTCTGGATATCCGAATATCGAAAATATCGCCTCTAATCGCGGTATGACTGTATCTGCGGCGGTCGATTTGATTCTTTCAACTACTGGAACCCTACTGTAGTCACATATAACAACTAGTAACATGTAACCTTCTGGAAATGGTCCACAAAAGTCACAACTGACTTCAGAAAACACATCTCGTGGTAGTAATGTTGGTTTAATCGGGTCTGGAGTAATTCTTGTTGATGCAGCTTGGCATACAATGCATAATCTACAAATTTCTTCTACCATTCTATCCATATGTGGAAACCAGCAGTATTCACGTAATAATCCTTTGCATGTTGATTGGCCTTGGTGACCTTCCTGCGAAAGCATAACAGTTTGTTTTTGCAGACTTTCTGGTAAGCAAAGTTTTGTACCCCGTAAAAGCACAAATCCATCTTCCGTATATGCAACTGCAAGTTCTTGATTTTTATTCAAATTCTCGTATAACCGAAAAAAAATATGATAAACAAGATCAACAAGGAAAGGCGGCGTTCAACGAACGCAACCCCCATATGACCCAGCAACAAGTACCAATGGCAAAGAGCCCAGGTGGACCCCCAAACAAAAACAGGACAGGGCAAAGACAGAGCACGGACAGGTTAATCATTAAATGATAAATAATTTGTAACTGATTAGGAATTCAAAGAAAATAATAATAGGCCCACAAAGGGGACAGGAGACGGGGGGAAGGGAGGGGGTTAATCAAAGAAATAAAAACAAGAGGCAATGGGGAAGATACTTACCGAAGACGAGAAAACAACAAGGGACACAAGCAAAAGTGTCACCAAAACAGTATGAAACAACATAGACATACATCTGAGGAACACAGTGGGGCGCCGCCTTGGAACGGTCAGCAGCATAATAATGACTGCTGGGGAGTTTAAACCGGTTAATGGTGCACCAAACCTCGCTCTTAGCCCCACCATGTTCTTATAAACGAGACAGTATAAAAAAATGAATCCCCACCAAGTGAAATTCTAACAGTTGTCATGGTTACAAAAGGTTAAATAAGTAAAACACTAAAATGATCATGTAGATACATATGAAAATTAATCTAATGACCATAACAAAAGAACTCAATGTCCTAAAGGAAGACAGAGCAGCAAGAAACTCACCTACAAGGGCCCGACGAAGGATGGCAAAAGACGACAATTAAAACAATTTAGTCCCAAAGGGCTTTACGAACTATCCATCATAGAGTCTCCCACTTGGTCCGTCAGATGCAATCAAAAGAGGAAAGCGTAGTGTCCAACTGTAAAAGGGTTGAACACTAAACATGCAGTATGTCTTAAAATAGTAGGGCCATAACCTCTTTTAATAAAATGTTTAATGATTTTAGTAAAAACAGCAGAAAAATTACCATGACCCAAAATCTTACGAAGTTTGTAAATCACATCGCCATAAAATCCAGGCTGGCTAATCCCTTGTCGTAGAAGAGTTTTTAAATCACTATTGAATTTAGAAATTAAATCAAAGTTACGGTTGTAAAATTTAGTAAAATATTTCCGTAATTTATGAGAGCGGTAGCCCTGTTTTAGAAGCTTGCTGGTAATAAAAATATTCCGCTCGTTGAAATCCTTTACGTTGCTACAAGCTCTAGCGAATCTAATTAACTGAAAAACATAAACCCCGTAAGATGTTGCATGGGGTACGTCTCCATCTAAATGTGGATAATTAACTATACAAAAGTCAAAGTCATCTCTTTTATCATAGATTTATTTTCGTGTGAATAGAATTGTTGTAGATAGTAATATGAAGATCCAAAACTGATGTACTAAAATTTCAAGAGTTGTTCGTTTTATTAAGTTGTAATTCATGCGGATAATTGTCAGACACCATTTGATCAAAATAAGGATTATCTAAATTAAAAATATCATCAAGGTATCTGGAAGTATTATTAAATGCGACTATAACATTTTGTTGTTTATCTTCAGAGAGACTCAACATAAAGTCTCTTTCATAACAGTACAAAAAACAAATCGGCGACCAGGGGTGCACAAATAGTACCCATAGGAATTCCTATGATCTGTTTAAATAGGGTATTACCAAACCTGACATAAATGTTGTCTAAAAGAAAAGAGAGTGCTCTACAAACTTCGTCACAGGTCCACATAGTATAATGTAACTTTCATCTAATTTGCATTTTTGAGTTTTCCAGACACTTTGTTCTAACGCATTTCTTACACAGCTTAATATACAGTCCGTTTCGGTAGCTTTTGCTACATCTGACAGCTTCAATGCATCTGGCAAAGCGTTATCAGTAATAAAGCTGATATATTGCTCGGCTACTGTATTTGTTTCGTGTCTTGCATGTGGATGCCTGGAAAGATAATCTGATATCATCATTTTACCTGGTCTATAAACTGTCTGGAAATCATACGTTGTCAACTTCAAACGCCAACGTTCTAATCTTGGTGATTGTATTGTCTTGATATTGTTGAAGATTGATTGAAGTGCAGCATGATCTGTTATCAGTTTAAATTTTTTGCCGAATAAATACAAATGGAAATGCTGAATCATGATGACAGCACTCAAAGCTTCTCTTTCTGTTTGAGAATATCGCGTCTGAACCGAATTGTATGCTTTGCTTCTATATGATACTATTTTGCCGTTTTGAATAAGTAACTGGACTTCCGTCGACCCAGAGTTCAGTTTCCTTTCTAGGATCGAAATATGTCATGACCTTATCACTAATTAAGGTATCTTTCAATGATGTGAAGGATTTTTCTTGGTCGGCAGTCCATTCAAATTTTACACCTTTATGTGTAAGTCGTCTTAATGGTTCTGTTAAGCTTGAATACCCATCTATGAACTTAGACAAATAGTTCGTGAGACCCAGAAATGAACGGATTTCGGATATTGATTTTGGTCTGTCCATATTTTTCACTGCATTTACTTTGTCAGGATCGGGTGACATTCCGGATTCGGAAAATACGTATCCGAAGAACTTGATTTTAGATTGTCCGAATGAACATTTTTGGCTGTTCAGTGTGAGGTTTCGATCTTGAAGACGTTGCAGTAAAGCTCTAAGATTGGCGTCGTGTTCTTCTTGTGTCTTACCGAAACATACGATGTCGTTGGCAATATTCAATATGCCTTTTAGACCTTGAAGTGCTTGACGAAGCTCGTTTTGGAAAATTATCGGTGCTGCGGACACCCCGAAATGTAGACGTTTATACCTAAACAGTCCAATATGTGTCTGAAACGTTGTCATTACACGTGATGCTTCATCCAATTCAATTTGATGGAAAGCTTTGTACAGATCTAGACGTGAAAATACCGTTGCGCCGTTTAACGTCAAGATGATATCATCCACCGTCGGGCAAACATTTTTCTCTGTTTTGATTGCGGTGTTAGCTTTTCTCATATCTACGCAGACTCTCACTTCGTGTGGAGCATTAGGTTTCGGAGCCGCTACTAAGTTCGAAACCCACGGTGTCGGTAAACCTATAACCTTTTCAATAACATCCATTTCCTTTAAACTTTTAAGCTCCTTTTCGACTTGCGCACGTACATGAAATGGAACTCTCCTAGGCGGTTGAGCTACAGGTACAACACTTTCATCAATATGAAACTTAACTTTTCTGTCTTTCAGACATCCTAAGCCTGTGAAAACTTGAGAATATTCTTCAATTAGTCCTGAATATGCGTCTTTGCTTTGAACTGATTTATGAACTGATTGTATTTGCGGTAAAATCCCAAGCTCTACCGATAATTCATTACTGATCAATGATTCTTTGTTGCCTTTAACAATATGGAAATATTTTGTCATAAATTTTGAGTCCGACTCAACAAGCAGGGAACATTTGCCTTTGAATGGAAGTGGAGATTTCTGCCCAAATGCGAATGCTTTTGTTTTCGTTTTCTTGATTTCTGGACGAATTTTCATTTTGTTGAGGTCGATTTCGCTAATAATATTTAACGATGAACCGCTATCTATCAACACATTAACATCTACGCCATTTAATTTAATGCATTTCTTTGGCACTTTTTTCCCATCTGATATTTTAAATCCAAATAAAACATCGCACTCACTTGAACTGACACTCGGCTTGCTTGCCTCTGATAAAAGTTGTGAATCCGACTGTTCATCATCGATTAACTTCGCCTTGTTTTGACGTTTTCTGCGACCAATATAAAATGATTCTTCTTATGACAGTAATTACATTCTGCTCCGATAGCAGGGCAACGTGACATATGGGGATACTTTCCTCCACAATTTCGGCATTTTTTCCTTAGTTCTTGAGGGTTGTTTCGCCTTCCTGACGACAAACTTGCTTCTGGGATAGTTTGATATGAACGTTGCTGATAACGTTTAGGTGCGAATCCCTTTGATTGACGGCTAAATCGAGGATTGCTTTTTATCCGCACTACTTGCTGACTACTTGTATCCTTTGACATAGTTGCTGCTTGAGTTTTTGATATTTCCATGGTTCTCATTTTTGTAAGTAAGTCATTAAGTGATTTATCCGGATCTTGTAAACACTGCATTCTCATGTTTTGTGAAACAACACCCTGTATGATCTGGCTTTTAATTTCTGAGTCAATGTCCGAAAATTCACAATTCTTAGCTTTCTGGCGTAATCTTGTTGTAAACTGGTCGATAGATTCCCCATGCAATTGCTTCATATTACGAAATTCGAATATTTCAAATTGTGTGTTTTTTCTTGGCTTAAAGTATGATGTTAATCCAATTTTCGTTTCCTCGTAGTTTTCATTGTCTTCTTTTAAATTCAATGTATCATAGATATCGTAAACATCATCTCGTGCATAATGAAGTAACAGTGCTTTTTTTCGTTTTCTTGTGTTTATACCCAGTCCGTCCGACAAATAAATTTTCTAATTTATCCAAATACTTTTCCCATCGTACTTCCAGAGAATTTTCATCAGCAAAAACATCGAATTTCGGAAAAGCAGGTAAATTATCCATTTTCAAATCTGTTTTTTTTTCACAGTCAGTTTAAATGAATCCGCAGTTTTTTTTAATATCCGATCCTCGTCGCCAATGTAACATTTATATTTTCTATTTGGATGGCTAACTAGCACACAAACTAAACAAGACCCGAAGGATGGTTTATATATTTTATTATATGTGTTGCATTCAAGTATACACTCATAAACTCCCAAACATCAAGTAAACATACACACAGTAACAATAACGATATTTGATATTAAAGGCGTGGCTTATTATATCTTGTAGACTTGCTTACTACAGTCTATGCCAAGAAATTTTGAGATACATAAAACAAATATAGTACTGAACAGACTTGATAAAAGGAATTTTATCTTAAAGCCTTTGACCTCTTTTAAAATGCACTATCAAGGCACATGAAAAAATAACGTTTTGCCATAAGGCTTCAGTCTGCCTTATAACCCGAGCACGATAAACAGAAGATTCTTCATATTTACGTACACATTAAAACAAAAATAATTGGTCGCCTGCCTGCGGCAGGCTTGACCAATTATTTTTGTTAATATGTATTATTATTTAATTTTACCCATGAAATATGGTTCTATATCAGTCAAAGATATTTCATATTTTTTTAAGAATAAACGCTAAATATCGCGTGCGAAACAAGACAAAGATTATATTACTGCACGATGTACAATTTCAGTTGCGTAGCCAACAAGGGGGTTCGTAACCATTTTTCTTTTATAATGAAATTAAATAAAAACGTTATTTTTTCGTTTTCCGTGAAATATGGTATATATTTTCACTCAACATGATAAAATGCCACATATTTTCAAACGCCGTTCCGGCTCGAGAAAATATGTGGCATTTTATCATGTTTCGTGAAAATATATTCCATATTTCACTCAAACGAAAAAATATCCTCTTATTAAACACTAACATATACTTAATATGAAAGTGAGTTCGAAACCAGGTGGAAACTATTTCATTTTTTTTTTTTATGAATTACTCACTCTCTGGCAAAACAAATATATGGTTCCGCATATGAATTAAAACATATTTACGGAATCGTATAGCGACCAACCCTACAAGATATTGTATTTTGTCAAGACTTATATATTTTAAATAAGAAACGAATAATACAAACCAAAAAAAAGATAGTGGTATAAATGAGATTCGATTAAAAAGAAACATAAATAAATCAATCAAATAAAACACACATTATCATTATGAAGTTCCGTACATGAAGGAGGAAAAACAACAACAAAAATAACAGCAACAAAACATAATTTATTTGAAGGTGTTAGGCATCTGCCATGGAGTAGATTCCATCTGAACTTAGGGCTCTACCGATTAAGCTATTGCGACATTTATTACTTACGTTCACATTTATCAGACAAACACACAATTAATAGGATGTGCAACATTCAATTTATCTACATAAAATTAGTACTATAAATACGTTTTATTAAACATTAACCTATTTATTGATCAACATTATTTTTTTTCAACCGATAGTTCCGCCCTTTCGCTCTAAATAATGTCTACACCTTGTCAAGTTTCTAACATGTCACTATCAGAAAAGCTAAATAAATGGCCCTTTTAACATATAATTAGCTGATATGTCACAGAATTTATACCTTTATCGACAGTAAGACTACTAGTATCATGTCTGAAAAAAAAACAGCGTGGAAAAAAATGCAATTAGGTAAAAACAATGGAGTTAATGAAATGTGTAAATCCTTTTAAAATAAATGGAAAATGTGAGACAAATTCGTTGTTAGCTTCAAGTTATTCACTAACATTTAAAATCCCTAGCTGACCTTCTTTCTGTATGTCAATTTAGGTTTACAGTTGGAGGGGGTCTATTTACAATGAGTTTTCCAGCCAAAAATGTAACATTGTATTCTTAATATCAAGGATTGTTAATGCATTTACTATCAACTGAAAGAAAGCAATGTGTTTGTTACTTTGCTAGAAAATATAAAGTTTAAATCAGTCAGCAATTTATAACAAGACATTTTTCTTAGCGTTTAAAGGATGTATAAAAAAGTTACTATGTAATCAATTGTCTCTACGTGCCGCACATGTATTATCTATGTAATAAATTAATTGATTTTATCCTAACATTTAAAACACCTGACCTCGCTTGCTAACCTTAGATATTTTACAATTCAGAGTGCAAACTACACCTCTAACTCCTCCCTAATATAATGCATTATTGAATTTTGTTAGACTGGTTAGACAACAGATTAAGTAAATCTTATTTAGATAAATAAATACACATTAACCAAAGTTAGATTTAGCAGAAATTTGAAAAATACTACAATGTGATTGGACAAAAAATAATGTTGATCATTTATAAGCGGTGTTACTTACTGTGCTATTGATTCAAACGAAGGTAACATCTCATAAAATGTATATATTTTGTATGCCATTTACCTTTTTAATTTTAAAACTGACGAAAGTTCTGATTATATCACCCAAGGTAGAGCTATTAATAGAGATTTTGGAAAACCAATGTTTTTAATTTTAAAACTGACGAAAGTTCTGATTTTATCACCCAAGGTAGAGATTTTGGAAAACCTATGTTTTAAAAAAAGAATAATTTTTTTGGTTTTTTTTTTTCATAACTTAAAATAATGAAATAGTTTAAATGAATAGTTTATAAATGGTTTGGACGACAATATTTTTTTGTTGTTTATTTATCGTACATAGCCTTTAAACATGTCACTTTAACCTTATTTTTGACGGATAAAGCGAATACTTTATGCCTAAATTTGGGGCAAACTCATTCATTTAAAAGTCTCCATATGTACATCTTTATTGACATCTTAGGAAAAATGTGTTATTTATAGATACAGGTCAATTTTTTATCTAAAGAAAATCAATGTAAATCAGATACAGTCTGTAACAAAATTCTTTAAATTGAGAACTTATTTGATAAGATGTTTAGATCAATGCAAATTTACTGGTAATTGATAGTATCATGATAGTTTACTTGAGCTTAAAATAGCTAACGCCTCGATCGGTAAAAGAGTATTTTTATTGCGTCGTATTGAATATATATTATGTTTGCCTACGATTTAAATAGATAAAAAATTTAAATTGATAATCTAAATAAATTTACCTGAATTTGTAGTGACAAATCCTATTGTGATTATCATCACAACTGTGAGGTAAATTAATGCAGTCACCTTCATTTTAGGTAATAAGTAACTTAAACAGTTTAAGTATATTTGTGTCCGTCTCCTTTCGAAGTAATGACAGCAATGTCATAAATTTACATGTATTTATCATTATAGTTATTAGTAAAATCCTATACATATTCCGGGGTTTGAATAAGGGGAAACCAAATTTTGAAAGGCTACATAATATGAATATGAATAATAAAGAAAACATTCGAAAGATTGTGTTAAAGAAACTCCACTGACGTTGAAAGACTGAAAACAAAACATTTGAATTTCTTACATAAATAAGCTGGGGCACTTTAAACAGAAACATATGCAAAAATAGGTAAGAAATATACTTTGAAATAAATTGAAAATCATAGTTTATGCTTTTCTTAGCACGATTTGAGAGAAAAGCATTTAAACGCTTTTCATTTTGGGTAATATTTTTAAAATTTAAATAAAAAAAACGAAGTGCGCAAATAATCTGAAATTTTGCACAAAGATTAGTAGTCTACATCAAATGTTGCATTTGTCTGGAAAATGTATTTCAGTCCCTTCATGTCAAAAAACCTCAGTAGAGTCCCTTAAAGGTTTCCGTACTTTTTTGTTCATATCTTGGAAAGTGAAGTATATTTTATTAGAAAAATATATAATAAACCGGAGATTTCGAATAATAATTATGATATTATGATTTTCAAAGTAGTCTCCATGTACTGGATGGGGTCTGTGGAGTTGTCTCCCTTAGAGGCAAAAATAAATAGTCTCTTGTAACTCTTTTAGAATGGCTTTTCGTGTATTTTATGTTTGTGTTTTACGTTTTATATATAATTTTATGTATACATGTAAAGATGAGACTGAAAATGTATATTTTAAAAGGTCTTTCTACCCACTTATTATTCTTCCTGTATGCAACATTCTATTTTATCATATAAGATATATGACTCGCATTGCTAGCACTAGATAAATCGATCTCTTATCTTTGGATTAAACTATTCAATGTTTTCAGGTATTCGGATTTTGGACACTGCTCCAATATGGAAGGAAAAAAAGAGATACTGCAAAAACGCTTGCTTTCTAATGATTGCTCAAATTTGAAATTTTGCAGCATAAATCTAGAATGAAAAAAACATTAATTTATGTTTAACCTAAACAAATGACAAGGAATATAATACCTTTTTTCTATTGATGATTTATGGAAGAAAAAAAGGGATATTGCAAAAAACGCTTGCTTTATAAAACTTTTCTTCTAATGATTGCTCAAATTTTTGAAATTCTGCAGCATAAATCTAAAGTTGAAGAAGCATAAATTTGTGTTTAACCTAAACAAATGACAGGGAATATAGTACCTTTTTCTATTGATGATTTAGCAAAATGCCGTCGGCCGAGATGAAATTTCCTATCAATTCCTCTATCACCTAATCCCTAATAATATTTTTAATTCATTATAACAATAAACTTGAAAAAGGTAATGGTTATTTTCAACAAAAAAAACTACGAGGAGAGACACAAGCGTTGAAACTGATATCTGTTGCCTGTATTTATTTAATTCACAGTATTTAAATCTGTTATTCTTTATACTAATTAAAAAATGTCGGTTTTCTAATGTGTATTAAAATAATTTTATTATTTTTCCTATTGCAGATTCTTCTTCATACCTTTTCCGGACGACAAAAATGGTCTCTAAATTAGCATAGAAGTTTTGGAATTTGGCTGTTTGTTATTACACAAGTAACAAGTGGGGCGCATTTAACAAGACTAAAACTTATTAACTTTGTGTGGCATGTAAATGGTTACGACAAGTTAAAGCCATGTTGTTTCTGCATCTACGGAGCGATCCTAGCTGTACAGTCGACTCATATTATGACTCAAACAGTATCAAACAGCGACAACTCGCCGGCAGTGATAGCGTCATACTACCATGACATATGCGAGGAAATTCAACGCTATCAACCATTTTTCAGATATAAAGGCACAGAAAGCGTATCGGGGTTGAAAAGTTTTACTTGTAGAAAGAGTGTAGCAAATCAACGTTTAGAATCCTGTCAGATAGGGATTTCTTCGTATTGTGGATTTCATTTTTTTTTCAAGGATCTTATTGATTTCAAAGTTTGGATATAACAAATCGTGTACACATTGAATGCCTAAGAAATTGTTTTAGCAGAACTCTACATAAGCTAAACCCAATGTAATTTTGAAATACCTTTCGGAAGACCTGATATAATGTATTTTGTACCTGGATCTATAGATGGCATAATTTTGGTCATCGTGTTGATCAAGAAAACAAACAGATATGCCAGAACTTTATGAATCACTTAAACAGCCTCATTATAACGTAACCGAGAAACTTGTTCGAGTGTTGTCTTCAAATAACAGAAAGCTTTTGACAGCCATTTAACGAATCGTTAACATGGTACCTTGAGTTTTAACAGCAAATTTGGCATCGTCCTTAATTCAATGAGAAAATAAATTTGGTTCCTGTAGATAAACCATGGAATAAGTGAACGTGTAAAATCAAAATAAATTATTTTAATTTATGAATAGGTGTGAACATTACAAAAGTTCATGACGTTTTGCTTTTTTCGTTAGGTAACAATTGTGATAGCTATTTAACTGTAATTTTTAAATTCAGTTTAATGAAACTATGCAGTATAACGTACCATATAACATACTACAAAGTTTTGGATTAGGAATGCATTTTTTCTTGTCGTTTCTAAGAACATACGGTGGTGTTTCTGTAATTATATATATAATTATATGTCGTTATATTGTAGAGTGGACTTACATGTGCACTTGCAATAGCACCAACAACTTTTAAATCACACTCCCTTTGGTAACCAACCAGTCTTCCTTCAAATATTGCAATATTATTTGAACACTTTCTTGTAATAAGTGTGGTATCAAATAAGGAACAAGATTTTTTTACAACAAATAAACTTTTATTTTCAATATATCACAGTATCAAATATAACAAGAGCCATGTCAACATGGCCATCCCCCGCCGAATGTGTTTGCTCATTGGAAGAATATATATGTAGTAGAGCGGAATAATTCCATTTTAAGAGGTCTTTTGGTAATGAAAACTGATGGCTATAGTGATTACAGATTTGAAACCTATGTGAATACTGATGGCTGAAAATAACAAAGGGCAATTACTGAAAAATAATGCAGGGTAGGTTATCATTCTTGTGTGCTGCATCCCTCCTCAGTAAAATCTATCCACCTATGAAGTTTCAAGTTGATACCTCAAATACTTTGTGAGAAAAAAATTGAATTGAAAAATAAAGTATGAAAAAGAACAAAGGGCAATAACTCAAAAATTATAAAAGGTAGAGTTATCATTCATGTGCAGTGCACACCTCCTGAGTGAGATCTATGCACCTAGGAAGTTTCATTTTGATATCTCAAAGGCTTTTTGAGTTATGCCCTGGACAAAAATTAATTTTGAAAAATAACAAAGGGCAATAACTCAAAAATAATGCAGGGTAGAGTTATCATCCTTAAGCACTGCACTCCTCCTCAATGAGATCCATCCACCTTTGAAGTTTCAAGTTGATACCTCAAATACTTTTTGAGATAAGCTCTGGACAAAATAGCATGAAAAAAAAGGGCAATAACTCAAAAATTGTATAGGGAAGAGTTATCATTCTTGCGCACAACATTCTTCCTCAATAAGATCTATCCACCTATGACATTTCATGTTGATATCTCAAACACTTTTTGAGTTATGCTCCACTCAGGTGAAAAATTAGGTATGAAAAATAACAAAGGGCAATAACTCAAAAATTATGAAAGGTAGAGTTATCATTATTGTGCACTGCACACCTCCTGAGTGAGATCTATGCACCTATGAAGTTTCATGTTAATATCTCATAGGCTTTTGGAGTTATGCTCTGGACAAAAATCAATTTTGAAAAATAACAAAGGGCAATAACTCAAAAATCATGCAAGGTAGAGTTATCATTCTTGTGCACTGCACTCCTCCTCAATGAGGTCTATCCACCTATGAAGTTTCAAGTTGATAACTCAAATACTTTTAGAGATATGCTCCGGACAAAAATGTCGGACGGAAGGATGGACGGACGGACGGAAGGTCGGACGGACGGAGACTATTTCTATATCCTCTGCCGAAATTTTTCGGCGGGGGATAAAAAAATAAACAATAACAAAAATAGAGCATGGACATCTTAATAATAAAAAAAACTTAATAGAAAATGCATAAATTATTTCTAAATGTAAAAAAAAAAAGAGTTGGAAAGTTACAATATTCTATCACATTTTTTCTAACTGAACAATATTTCAGGATGCTGAAAGTCATAATCACCAACATCCACAGCCCTTTTTTAAGTAAACTTATAACAATATTATATAATCCTTGTTCAGCAGAAATTGCTATTTTCAGCACATTAAAGCTTTCAGAATTTAATATTACAAACGCCATTCATCTAAATTTGTGTATCATCACCTTAGTGCATTAACAGGTTAACTTCTTATATAAATTTAATAGGAGTTAACCAGTTACTGCACTAATGTGGCAATATGAGACACAGAAAATGATCAAGATAGTGACGATATCTGGTTCTAGGAAAATTGCGGATAGTATTTTGCATCGTTCAATGGTAATTATCAGCAATTAAGGACACAGCAATTATCCGTTTACCGCAATATTTTACCCTATACTATTAAAGTAGTCAAATAACTTAATAAACATGTTCCATTTTGAATGCAAAACATCTATAACACTGTTTAAGTAGGGAAAAGGGTCATATTAGTATTAAAATACTGAAAATTGAGTTAACAACAGGCAGTATAGTGTTGTCTGATTAGATAAAAAGATTCGCGTGGTGACCTAGCTTAAAACTCATGGCATAAACCTATCAATATAGTCAACAGCATCCATGCTGCTTAAGAATCCTGTTAAGTGGTTCCTTCAATTTGAATTAAATTTTGTCATAACTCATAACAAATAGCTTTAGGAAACAAATCATTTATCATACAGTTTGCTTAATAAGTAACTATTAAAAACTTTGAGAAATAAATAATTCTATATTTCAAAACTGTATCTAAGTTCATATCAACATATTTTTCTTCTTTTTTTTCTTCATCTATTAACTTGGTCAAAATTATTTAGTTTTTTTTAAGTATTTACTATTTTCAACAATATGCTCCTGTAAAATAAACAAATGATGATAACATATCTATTCCAAACACTCAAACAGGAAGAAAAGTGGCGATTAGTTTCTTATCTTTATCAAAATGCACCAGAAAATCACCATTTTATATATACATATTGAAGGGAAAAACTATGAAATCAAAGTTTCTAGTTTTTTATTACTTTTTTTTTTCAATTTGTGTAAATTTCAATTCATAAAAAAAATTGAAAAATGTATTGCATTTAATCAAAACTATTTTTATCCATAGCTTAATTAATACATTGAATACTCCCGTTGTACTCCTCAAGGAAATGCAACACCATAATAGTCATGTCCTTTTGAGTTGAAACATTTATATGAGCAAAGTAGAGCACGCACAGGAACCAGTCCATTTAAGTTTTTCAGTCTGAGGTCCTGGAATCAAAAAATAGACACAGTCTAGTCATATAAACAAGATACTGTCATTATTAGAGTGAGACTAAAAAAGGATTTGAGCACCGCACTACTGTATTCCTGTATATATACCAGGCAAGGAGCTTGATTGATTAAATGCTAAAATCTCGCCTTTTTACTCAATGGAATGAACTTTCAACGTCTAATTCATCTCTTCACACCGATATATGACAATGAACGAAAGATGTAAGAATCTGTGCAAAAAAGCGATATTTTCCTACTTTGTGATCATGATTTCTGCAAACATCTATCATCTATTAGACTATTAGGTACTGCTCCAAACCTGTAGTGAGTTAACATCTCAATTACTATACTGTTATAATGATAATATAATCATCAACATTTGATTCTTTTTAACTAGTGATTATTGGTTTGAGCCGTAATCAGTTCACAACTATTCTTCATATGACACTAGTACTGGAAGTGGACTCGAAAGTGATTAATATAAGTTGCAGGAACTTATTCGGCAATCAAGCTTAAATAAATATGTTTAAACCAAACAACAAAGAACCATCAATAATTTCAGGATAATGTTAACAAAACTTACTGATTTTGCATCGACAAACTTGACACACTCTAGCCACGTGTTGAGGAAAGACTCTCCACACACTGCACATCTACTGGCCTGTGCTAACATCTCACGTATCTGTGGATAGTGTTTTATTGCACGTCTCAAGTATGACCACCTGTTAAATTTTAAACGATTAAGCTGAATTAATATCAATATTGTTGAAACTGTCATTTCTTTGTATATAAATGTAAAAAGTACATAAGAAGTAAATATAGTACATGTTTATTCATGACAGACTTATAGAAAATATTCATTTTCAACAATTTAAAATTGGCATGTCTCAAGTACATTATCCTGTTTAAAATTTAAATGACAAGCTTAATAAAATAATATACATGTATATACATTAACACAAATAATGCTTATATTATCTTTTCCTAATACATTATATACAAAAGTACATGTATATTGACATGAAAGTGTAATAAGAAATTTCCTATTTTTAAAATATTAAGATTTATCCATTACAATTAAAATAATAAAAAGACTTTTAAACAAGTTTTACTGTCTCCTGCAATTCTTACTGAAGGTCTTTTTCAAACCATATTCGGCAAATGATTAACCATTCACCAAAAAAGAACTTTAAAAGAAATTGTGTTTTTCTTCACAAACGCCTGTGGGTGCAGGTGCATAAAAATGGGTAATTCATGATTTATGATACAAACAAAGGTGATTAAATATCTTATTTAAATGGGAAGCCCAAATGTCAAAAAAAAGGTTACAGCAAAAGCATAAAAAATTATGAGCAACAAGTCACAGGCACACGGGTTCAGCACATTTGTCTTAATAATGGTCAAAAAATTACAATAGAATAATCTCCCCTTGATCATCAAGACAAAAATATTGCCTCCTTAGTGCAATAACTGATTAATAAACTCCTATCAAATTAAGAAGGACTTAGGACATAACCCATTACTGAACTAAGGTGATGATTGGCGTCCGCGCACAAGCCCGACGCCCCTTATGGAATGAAATCAGATTTTGTAAAAGGGCAATTGCAACTTCTCGGACCTTTTTGTCAGTCATAATAGCCGATCATTCCGATTGGTATGAGGGTGTTTGATTATCAAAATGAAAGGGGTCCCCTCCAATAAACCAATTAACAGACTTAGTTCATTTTGACTACTATTTTGTATGTTCTAACGAAAATAATATATGAACTTGAAATTCTATCAATGACCAATGTTAATGATGATATCCAAAAATACTCTCTTAAATTTATAGTATAAATAAACTTATACCATATAGGGGGGTATATTTTGCATATAATAAACCTGTATATTTTGGATATTATTGTTAACATTCATATAATTTCAAGTTCCTGTGGAAAAAACATTTAATATTCTAATTTCTAGCATGCCTACAAAAGTTCATGACGAACATTTTTTTATCGTCTGATATACAATTCTGGTAAAAACCAATAAACCATTGAAAAGTTTATAAGAATATCTGGTCACCAGATGTCTACTAAGTTCATCTTCAATGCTGCATTTCTTGCTTGGACGCCCTTTGATGCTTTGCATCAATGTTTTTCTTGTATATAATATTATCAATATACATGTATCTATATGTATATATTATATATAGTAAACAGGTGCTGGAAAGTAATTTTGTTCTTGATGATCAAGGGGAGATTACTTCATGATAATGTGTCCATTATTGGCAAGACGAATGTGCTGAATGCCTGTGGTCACAGGCAAAGCACTAGATGACTGATAAATAACAAAAAAACATTAAAAAAAAAACAAAAAAACATTTTTACTATCCACCACAAAAAAATATCTTGAAAATGAATAGGTTTACAGACTTTAAACATATTTAATAAGTTTAGTCAGACTGCATGGATCAGTTGGCGTAGATGGGCTGGCATGGCTGCCAGTCACCTGGCAAATCTAAGTGAAATTAAAACACAAACTTTAATCCATTTCACTTCATATCAATCTGTTTAATCAAATACATGAACACTGTCTCCCAAGAATGTTTGCTTAGTAATATAAATTATAATATAATACTACATGTACTGCTGTTTTTTTTAAATACTTCAAGACATTGCAACACAGGCAACTACTTCTGAACAAGTAATTGGGTCCATGACTATAAAGATATTTTCTAACCTCAAAGTCAGATCTCAGGTATCTGACTATTCAGAAACCAGCTAAGAATGCACATTGACCTAAATGAGAATCTCAAGTTCTGAGACTGATCTCAGAAAAATATAACGTCAAGGCCAGGGTCTAAGGTTATATAGAAACCTTATCTCCTCATTCTCGGATCTCAGATTTGTGATTGGTCAGAAACCAACTAATAATGAAAATTCTGAACTCCGAGACCAATCTCATATAAAGTTATTTGACGAGGTTACATTTATAAAGAAATTCTCATAGCTAAACTCAGTTCTCAGGCATTTGATTGATCAGAAATTGCTACAAAATTTTCACAGATCAATGAAAATCATGAAATCATGAAATTTGAGACAGAGCTCAGAAAAAGTTATGTTACCTCGAGGTCAGGTCTTGTGCAAGCTCAACAATTTGATAATTGTCAACTTTTCTTAAGATCAGAACAATTTATGCTAAAAACTAATTTCTTGCAGAGAACATTTGCCACTATACAATTTTTAGGGTTCTATTTCTATGATATAAGTATTTTAGTTTACTAAATTAAGAATTGATTCATGGCTATTTCCAATCAAAATTTCTAACATTATGAATTTATGATATAAAATGAATTGCTATATGCCATAAAAATATATAACATGTATAAGGACAGTGGTGCTAAACATAGTAGGTACAGTACCAATGCCCTTAAAACATGGAGATTTATGGGAGACAGTGTATATAAAATGGATGACACAAAAATCACAAAACATGTTACTTGGTTAAACAAACATCATTCAAAATACCTCTTGTCTGGGCGTCTTTTTGAAAGCAATAACAAGAATATAAACATATTCATAAAACTATCAAATAGTTGTCAATTAAAAAGACAGCAAAATAAAGTCTTAAGACTTAATATCAAAAAAATTATGAATCACGTTACCAGTTTTCATATCATAAGTTAGTTAATTTACAGTCATAAACAGTATTTCTAAAACAAATATTGCACAAGATTCAAGTTTAGATTTCACAAAACAGTGTACATGTATTTAACATTTTTGATAATTTTATTAGTTATTTACTGAAGTAAAACCCTTGTACTCTACAAAAGCTATAAATAAAACACTGCTATAAAGTATTATTTATCTAAAATCATTCACTGACTGTTATATATTTCATAAAAATAATGTGATATAATTATCTAATAATATAAAGATCGAAGAGAATTATATATCTATATCAACCACTGGCAGCATGGCCAAGTGGTTAATGCATCCTTTAAGTAATAACATGATTGCTAGTCGCATGGGTTCAAACCCTGTCAGAGGCAAGTTGTTATTTCCTTCAGCAAGAAACTTTACACTCATTGCTCTGGACTGGTTGGTTCCAGGAATGGAATCAAAAGTTTGTCTATAAGCTTATTCTAAGCTTCCTACACAATCAAACTAATATAAATTTTATGTAAACCAAATATTAACCTGATCATTGTTTTGTCATCTTAGTACAACTGTTTATGAATAAAAAGTACTATATAATATGTAATATTGTTTGGATACACTTTGTGTTCTTATACTGCATTGTAAGCAATTATCCTCATGTCATCAAAATAGTATATGTATATGTGAATATATGCAATGGATTCTAACATAAATGCGGTATATATAATCTTTTAGAGGCATCTAAATTTCATGAATATAAAAATCATCTAAGTTCTGCATAGTTACATATTGATATTTTCTTTGCAGTAAATTTTAAATAAAATAATCATTTACAGCTTCTTTCACTATGACATTTTGTATGTAGACCCATGCTGAAAGACAAAGCCCTATATCCCTGATTTTTGGAAACAAGATCTAAATTGAAGACAGATTTTTTAAAATACTATTTTTCAAAGTTAATATTAAAATGATTATGCTATTTTCTTACTGATGCAAAATCATCAGATGTATATCAATAAATCACAAGTTTATCTGATAAAAATAAAACTAGATCCTTTCACACTTAGACTAAAAGGGTCAAATTATAAACCTAAAGAAAAAAAAGAAGAAAAAAGAGAAAGAATCAAACTGACCACGACATATTAAAAAATACATTTTAAAGTAATTTCAATATATTTATGATTAAAGTTACCTTGGCAACCTACGTACATGTACTGATATCAAAGCTAATGCTATCTACTTACGGAAGATTTTTTGTCCTAAGAGATTACACATATCATTTCAAATCAGTTTGAAAACATCTGAAATCTTAGCTTATTTTCCATGACAAAGCATACATAAAAAATATTTCATTTACAATTTAACATCCTAAAATTCTTCCGATCAGAATTTACATAATAAAAATATTTCTTGTTTGAATTATAAGAATTGACAATTGTTGATAAAATGGGTATCTAGACCAAAATACTTTGATTTGGCAGCATTTAGAGCTTGGTTATTGACAGAAAAAGATACCACTTTAGTTATACAATGTGTCTTATATGTCATTTTATGACATTGCCACAGAATATAGGCATCACATACCATGTCTTTCTACACTAGTGACACATAAATGTCAAAGACATACCATTATCCTCTCCAGTGATGCAAATTTAAATTCATATTAAGTATAGTAGCTATGATATATAACAATCATTTATGCATAAACATCTACTTTCATTCTTATAAATGATTTTTTTTCTCTTAAAAATGTGCAGAATTCTTTAAAATCTCTAACCCTAGGAACAAATTCATTAAAAGTAATTCAGCTATGGTGCAAACTAAAACACTCTTAGTTTACTTCAGATATCAAATGAAATTATTGCTTATACTACTGTATTAATATTTACCTGTCTTTTAACTCTTTCATCACATATCTTGCACAAACTTCCTGGAAAAATAATACATAGTTTAAATTTTGAATAGTGAAAAAAGAGAAATAAAATGTATATCTGAAATGTGCTCATAATCAGTACTTGATGCTAAAGTATAAAATAGGAAAAATGCTTACCTTCAATGAGAGCACCTCCTCCTCCTGGACTGAATGTACAGGTAAGTGTTGTAATAAAGGGTTCTCCTCACAAAACATATCTTTTAACGGAATATTGTGTAACTGAAATACAAACATCATGTATAAATATCTTATTGTTGTAGAAATATCTTATTCATGTAGAAATATCTTATTCATGAAGCGATATCTAATTTTAAAACATCAAATGTTCTGAGTCCAAAAATTTACGAAGCAAGACCAGAGAAATGAAGTTGATAAAGTAGAACACCGATCATTGTTTTTTTTGTTTGTTTTTTCAAATTCAACCACTCAGATAAAGAACAATTCAAAAGTTGGTGTGGAAAAAATAAATCATAATTAGATTAATCACAAATAGACACATATATTCAGTTATATTTCCATATTTCTGTAAGTTAAAACAGGAAAAGTAGTTAAAAATTACAGGTTACCTCAGTTGGAAATATTCGCAAGTCATTGGCTGCAATATCTAATGTTCTAAGTTTGTAACATTTTCCAATACTCTGAAAATACACATAAATAATAAGTTTATACATGTATATATATATGTACATCAATTCATATATTTTTGATGATTATTGGACGGAGATCTACAGTGGTTGTGAAGATATGGTTTTGAAGTCATAATCTTGATCAGAACTTTTCATACAGGACAATAATTCACTCATAATCTATTATATAAGTAGGGGTCTTGCATAGCAACTTGCAATGATGTTGCCAAAAACCTTAGTGCAGTAACAGGTTAACTCCTATTGAATTATATAAGGGGTTAATCAGTAACCGCACTTAGGTGACAATATATGAAGTCTCAATTTTATACCCTTAATAGCTGATAGATCATGTATGCATCAACATTAACCAGGAATTCTCCATGTTCCCAAGGTGCTATTATTCACTCAAATCTATTCTGAGTGACAAATTGCCTATAAATGAGCCGCGTCATGACAAAACCAACATAGTGCGTTTGCGACCAGCATGCATCCAGACCAGCCTGCGCATCCGCGCAGTCTGATCAGGATCCATGATGTTCGCTTACCAACCCTATCACAAGTAGAACAAGAGCTGTCCGTAAGACAGCGCGCTCGACTTTTTTATTGCTTGCCAATAAAAAAAGTTTTTGCAGTAAAAGGCAATACAAGAATCTCTGTATTTTTAAAGTGAACTAGTTGTTTGATACCCTTGAATATTACAGCAATGTTTATATGACATAATTTATGGTAAAGTGAACAAGTGGATAGGAATGAATTTTTTTAGATTTTTTAAGTTTTTTAGTGCTTGCCTATAATACAAAACATTGACAGTTAAGGGCCATAATTCAAATAAAATCTTTGACAGAATTACCTTCTCCTGGACATGTTTGGGAATCATGATTGTAAACAAGTATTCCAACTTTCAAATTAATATCTCAAACAGTTCAGTCAAAAAGTGGACTGGTACTAAAAACTTAACCAAGATTCTAAGTCGATAAAAGGCCTTAATTTTTAAAACAAATCCTTGACAGAGTTACCTTCTCTTGCGTACAGATGGGGGTAATGATGTGAAATAGCATTAAAAGTTTCAAAGCAATATCTCAAAGGGTTAAGGCAATAAGTGGATTTTACCCATATTCAATGTATTTTCTAAGTCAAAAAGGGGCATAATTCTGTCAAAAACCTTGACAGAGTTATGTCCTCTTGTCTGTTGATGAAGGTCGTGATGGTAAACAAGTATGGTCAGTTTCAAAGCAATACCTCCAATGGTTTTGAAATAAAGTGAGGTGGTACAAAAAACTTAACCAAGCTCAATACACTTTCTAAGTCAAAAAAGGGCCATAATTCTGTCAAAAACCTTGACAGAGTTATGTACTCTTGTCTGTAGATGGAGGTTATGATGGTGAACAAGTATGGTAAGTTTCAAAGCCATACTTGTAATACTTCTGAAATAAAGTGGGGTGGTACGAAAAACTTAACCAAGGTGTGACGCCAACGCCGACGCCGACGCCGGGGCGAGTAGGATAGCTCCCCTTTTCATAGAAAAGTCGAGCTAAAAACTGATAGCGAACAGCATGGATCCTGATCAGACTGCGCGGATGCGCAGGCTGGTCTGGATCCATGCTGGTCACAAACGCACTATGTTGGTTTTGTCATGATGCGGCTCAAATATGCAGTGACGGCATTGCCGAGTGGAGTGAGTGGATGAAACATTGTTGGGACCAGTAATAAAATGATCGCTAGCTGCTGGGTTCAAACCCTGTTCGGTGTAAGTTTTTGTGTCCTAGAACAAGAAACTTCTTGCTCAGTACTGGCTTCTTCCAGGAACGGATTTGAAAGTATGTCTTTAAGTTTATAAATTAACTTCCTACACTATCAAACTAACATAAAATCTGTTAAATAAATTCTATTTTAAGAACTTAACACATTGCATGTACATAAAATTTTCAGCACTCTTGGTTGACTGGTAGATTCATTCTAAATGAAAGTGAAAGCTGTTAAAAACTCACTTCAGGTAATTCTCGTATTCTGTTCTTTTGTAAATGCAATTTTTCAAGGTTGATAAGAAACCCAAATTCTAGTGGAAGATTTGTTAACTGATTATTTGCAGCATGAAATTCCTCTAGTCGTGTAAGAGCACAAATTTCAACAGGTAATTCTGTGAGTTCATTGTTATCTACACTGAGGAACTGAAGATTTGATAACCTGTAAAATATACCAGTAATAAACATAGGTAACAAATAAAATTTGATGTTTTATAAAATGAATTTAAAAGTGTTGTCACATCACATAAGCGATATTTTAATTCACCACAGCCATAATATGATGTCTCAATGGTTACAAAACTATTTTTCATTCTGAATTTCATTTTTTTCTTTGCAATGCAAGTTTCAAAATTATGAAATAAAATTAAAGCAATCTCTTGAATAAATGAATATATTTAAGACAAAAGCTTAATGTCAGTTATAGGAAAAGAAACAAGAGGGCCATAATGGCACTGAGACGCTCACCAGAAACAACTGCTTTTCAGTGTTGGAAATTATCCATTGTCAATATTTTCTAATATTAAATTTGAGCATAGAATATGTTTAAACAATAATTTGAAGAAATGCTTAGCCATGAAATGGGGCATTTAAGCTTTAGCTTAAACGGGGCCAATCAAAGTAATATGAGCAAACTTGATAAAAGACTACCTAAGAATGCTAAAGACAAAGTTTGTTGATCATCCATCAATTAGTTCTGAAGAAAAAGACGTTTAAAGGTACATGTATTTCTATTTTTGGTTTAGCCGCCCCTAAAAGGGGCCAATCAAAGTAATATGAGCAAACTTGATAAAAGACTACCCAAGAATGTTACAAAGTTTGGTTATCATCCATCAATTACATGTAGTTCTGTAGAAGATGTCTAAAGGTTTTTCTATTTTTAGCTCTAGAGACCCCTAAAAGGGGCCAATCAAATTAATATGAGCAAACTTGATAAAAGACTACCCAAGAATGCTACAGACAAAGTTTGGTGATCATCTATCAATTAGTTTTGTAGTAGAAGATATTTAAAGGTTTTTCTATTTTTAGCTCTGTTGACCACTAAATGGGGCCAATTGAAATGACATTAGCAAATTCAAGAGTGACTGTCACAAGGATCCTACAGACCAAATTTGAAGTAAATCTGCCCAGTAGTTTCAGAGAAGAAGATTGTTGATGCATGAAGCCGGAGCATCCCCCTTTGATACTAATAGCTCACCCTGAACATTTGGTTCTGGTGAGCTTATAAAAAAGAAATGAGGTGTAACAAACCTGCATATCTCTGGTGGAAGAGTTTTCAAACAGTTTTTGTTTAGATTGAGGAATGTAAGACTTCTTAAACTTGCTGAAATTGTAACAAAAATGCATGTAGATAATTTTAAAAATCAAACCAATGTGAAAATTTTAGTAAAAAGGCATTATTATTTTTCTGAGCTGCCTTTTTTGAACAACTTTAATTAATAACTCATAATTATGGAAATATATATGTATGAACACATTTTTTCAAAATAACTTAGGAACATGAAGTTATAATCAGTTGACAGGCTTAACTTTTGTGGTTTGAATCTTACAAATATCAATATTTCACTACCAGTGTCTTAACTTAAGCTAAATAAAAATATATATCAAGTGAAGGACTCAAATCTACACTTTATGGTTACTTAGTATGATGCTCTGATAGCGAAAATAGGCTAATTAAATCTAATGACTTAGAACCTTTGATATAATAAGAATCTACTGGGATATCATTTTACTCACAGAGAACCTTTGGAGTCAGTGTGTGTATTACGTTGTTGAACAAATGTAGCTTTTCTAACATTGTCAGATGTTCAATAACTTCTGGTAGTTCTTCAAATGCATTGTTTCCGCAGTTCAGTATCTGCAACTGTAAGAATTTATAACGGTTAGTTTAAATATATTTATTTTAGCGTGATTGCAAAACAAGTTTTTTGCAACTTATATTATAAAATCGCTTTTGATTCCCCTTCCTAGAACTAGTACTTGTGTCATTTAATGTATAAGTAATCATGAGTGTGACTTGAGTAGTGCTCAAACCAATGATTCCTAGGTTGAGAGGCAGACACCTTAACCAGGTTAATATAGAATAATAATATATGTTCAATATAACATTTTTATGTCTAAAGGCAAAAGAGTCATGCAATTTGCATCATAGCATGTAATCATATTACATTTTTTCAAGTTGACACACAAATTGGCTCTCTTTTTGGGTTAAAAAATTGAATGATGTTTACTTTTATCAAACTTTAATGGATCATTCACCTTGTAGCTTTCATAATTTTAACCTGGAAAAGTGTTAAACAATGACTCTTCCGTGCTTATTTTCCATTGATTTATTTAGTAGATTTACAGGACTAAAATTTTTCCAAAATAGATTGGCCTGAAAAAAATGTTATATCTGATACATTTGTAGAAAACAAATTCTTTGTGAAAATAAAATCAGTTACATTTGCCTTACAGTGCAGAAAAAGTTCTAGCAGTATATGAGTCACGTACAGCTAGCCAGGACACACAGTATTATCTAGCCGTATGGCACTTTTTAAAATTATATGAAAGTCAAAAATGCACATGTTATTTTGTGTCTTTACCCTAGAATTTTAACCAAGAAACAGTGACTTGTCCTTGTATGTTTACTTCAATAAAGATGCTTCGCCATTTTGTCCCCCCAAAAAAAAAAAGGAATACAAGGAAATGAAAGCGTTGTCATCTTAATAAAAGTGTCAAAGTTATATGACGCATTATACAAAGTTCATTGTACATTGTGGTTATATTTATGATTGAATAAAAAATAGTTTAAGTTATAAAGTTGTTGTTTTTTTATGCTTATAATTTGTTGCTTTATTTGTATGAAAGATGAATTAATAAATCATTTTTTGTTATTTAAGCACATGAAATAAGTAATCATAATGACCGCAGAATCTTGTTTCATAACGGCATAATTTGAGAGGAATAAATAAATGGAACATTGAAAAAAAATAATTGTGAAAAGCAAAAACAATATGAGCAAATTATAGCAACTGTGTAATTGTATTTCTAAATAGATAAATATTGAACATTAAAGCACAAACAATAAGCCTAAATAAAAGCCTATATATATATAGGCTTAGAATGCGAATATAGAATTTTAGAATGCGTTTCACAGAACATGCAGACTTTCCTTTAAGATGGACAGTAATTGGCGCAATTATCAAAGCACAACACCAATTATTGTTAGTGCTTTTTTTCATTTTTAAAGGTGTTGAAAATTATACTTATTTAAACAAAAAAGAAATATTTAATAATTTTATGAACAATTTAAATTGATGTTTTTTAACGGCAAAAAAAACTCGCTGTTTGGGAAATAAAATCGATTTCACTTAAAGTAAACTTATAAGGCAATTCTTTTTAAAATTAATTTTAAAAGACAAAAATAAAAATCTTTTTGATTTTAATAAAATTTTTAAAAAGTCCGTAAATACGGGGACAATACAGGTGCCCCTGGTAACGTAGTGACCATGTACAGGTAAAACTTTTTGTCCTACGGGCATGTCGGCTACCCTTTTCCAAAAAAATGAGGGTAATCCCCTTTGGTTTTAAGCCCAATCCCTCCGATTCGAAAAATCATTTGTCTTATTAAAAGTTGTGCAAATTGGGAGAGAAAATTAACAAAATGCAGTTAAAATTCCCAATTAATCTATAATTTTAAGGGGAAAAAAACCGGGGAAATATTGGGCTATTCAAGAAAATTTCCCAAACACCCCCCCCCCCCCCCATCGAAGGCACTTTCACCCAAAAATACCCTCCCCACCCCCTGGACAAAGTTTATTATTGACCCCCCATCCACTTGTGCCCACGAAAAACACACCCTATGGACAAGAACTTTCCAACATGCCCCTGGATCCTAGATAGATACCTCATGGACAACCTATGGAAGGCACTTTTCAGAATAAAAGAATAAAAAACTGAATAATTTTCTTGAAGTTCACAACACACCTGATATAAATAACTTAATTCATAAGGCAATGTCTTTAATTTATTGTTTTTCACTTGCAAATGAATAATGCAATCAAGTTTTCCGATGGCCCTGGGGATCTTGTCGAGTTTTTTATTGCTTAAATTAAGAGATTTTGGCTTCGATCTCAAAGCGGGGACAAGTAGCGTGTCCGCCATTTTGCGTTGCTACCTTTAGAATGTAAAGCTATCATTTTTTGCGAATTTAATTATTGTAGTACAATTATGATAAGTTTCGTCACTTATTTTTTAAATAACTTTATTTCCTGATAAAAATATACCTTATATGAAATACATCTCAAAAATGGTTGTATTTCGATAAATCAAAATTTTCTTTGGATCGAAAATTTTGAGTACGAAGAAATTGATCCATTGAGAGGGGAAACAACTCTAAAAGACTTGTTTTACAAACTTAACGTTTGTAAACGTAGAAAAGATAGTTATTTACTGACAATTAAAGCAGGTGCATATCTTTTTAGTCGACAGGTCTTACAGAAGAATGATATTTTTATGATTATAGACTGTTTCACTGTTTCAAAACATGTCACCAAATACACACTGATATATTTTTTTAGGAAATAATGATGAATGACAAAGTCCCTATATTCACTATTGACTAGTCTTCTTTGTAGAAACAAAACCATTGACATTGTAGACAAACCTAAGAAATCTTTCCTGCAATTTTCCCATCTTTCTTGTGCTGTTTATTTAGCAGAAGTGCCTACTGCCATGATATATACATTAAACACTTTAAGTGTCGGTAATTTTTTATCCAGAGCATAATTTAGACCTAGTCGCACCTGCCTGATTATGGGAACGGTCTATAAGTATATCTATACATGATACTGCTTAACAATCAATTCTGCAAATGTCTGGCAGGCGCGTTGTGAGGGAACTGTTAATAAAAGACATTATTTATATGCAAATTTATACAGATAAAAGAATAAAAGTTCTACAAGACTATAAATTTAAAAGACATATTGTGTAATTTAGAATTTACAGAACGGGTCAAGCCTCTCAGTAAAGTGTGTATATCAGACGTTATGGGCTTCTTAAAGTTTATGTCGGTCAAGCCCGACAAAGTTGTTAAGCCCAGAAGCTAAAATATCTCAGAGCAACATCATATTTATAGGACTTTCAGAGCAGAACTCTTAACAAAACCATATATCGATAGAATTCTACAACTTGATATTTGTGGCTTGCAAAACTTTACATAAGCCGCAGCGCATTTTCATTTATTTTTTCATCTGATGAAGCATTCAATGTCATAGTATATAAATGGGTATGCTGAAGACCTTAAGCTTACAACTTACAAGTGATAGTATGTCAAATAAGTGTATTGAAAAAAAAATACTGACTGAATAGAGAATGGTGCACAGACCATGATCAGACGGGATGGATGTGCCAGCTGATCATGGTCTGCACTGGTTGCATAGGTCAATTTAGTTGCTGCTAGCAGGCATACGGTTAATATTTATTTATTGAACATTGTTGAATGATATTGTTAATTTTATATTCAGGCTGTTAACAGAATGACTTCATACATGGATCCAGATAATGATCCATCACTTCATCGTTTAGAGGGATCATCAGGGAACCAGGCTGGAGGGCTTGTTATCATGAAAAAGAACCCTGCATCCCAGACTGACAAACACTCTTTCAAAAAGCCATCTCTGCTTGGTCTAGACAAACTTGCTGCAGCAAAAAGACAGTCGGAGGAGGAAACAGAAAATGTTAAAAAGAAGTCAAAGGTGACATCCTACAGGGATGATTATGATGATGACAGCAGTGATTCTGATGATGAAGTTGAAAATGAATCTAGAAAATCTGATAAGGATAGAAAGAAGGAAAGGTACATGTAACTAGAAACTGCATTTATGTAAATTTTGAACAATATAATGATATTTATGTAGAGACAAGGCAATGTAATATAAGATTAATTGAGAAACAAACATGTAACTAAGGGTTTTAGTTTATTTATATTTAATTACATTATATTTACTTGCACATGTCATCAGGGCATGTAAGATTAAGTTTTGAAAGATTTGCTGAGCTTCAAAAGTAAAGATGTTGTAGTCTGGATTCGAGAGTGTTTCAATAAGCTTATAGCTTCCAACACAATCAACCTTAAACTAAATGTAGTCTGAACTAAGGATTAATGATGTTCTGTCTCCATGTTTGTGCTTGTAGTCTAACAAAAATGTTTGGCATCTTAACTAGCTGTTGAGACAAAAAGTTGGCTTGTAAGTGTACTAATAGATACTTCAACAGAAATGGACCTCAGTTATTGATCAGATTCGAGATACTTGTTGTGAATAAATTAGATACTTATTATTGTAAAACCCAGACTAAATTTGAGACCAATAAGAATTATGTCATATTCAGTTTTTACCCTTGTATTAAGAATTAGCTGAGCAAATTGAAAAATAATTGCATGTTGAATGAATCAACATTACTACTTAAAATATATATTTTACTGTAAAAACAAGTTTAAAGAGATTATTTACGTTACTTCAGACACTACCGACAATCCAGAATTGATACACCATCTCATCCTGGAGGTGTAAGTAATGCGGTATTAGACCGACGTCAAGACCGGCATGACAGAGATAAAGACAAGGGAGTGTATGCTTCATCTAAACATCATGACAGGGATAGAAAGAAGGACAGAAAGGATAGAGAAAGAGACAGGCGACATGATAGAGATAGGGATAGAGATAGACGGAAGAACAGAGATAGAGGTAAAAATGATAATAATAATAATAATAAAAAAGTTGAAATATAGAAAAACATTGAAGAAAGTTGCTTCCGTTTGAGATGATGCAAGTTGATGATTCCTGCTTACATGCGGTAATTGATAAAGCAATTGATTCTCGTTTCCTATTGGGGAATGATAAAAGTCAGGCAAAGTTGCCTGCATTGGGTAAAAGGTTAATATGTTTTTTTCCCCTCATGTTGCCTGATAGTCTTTTTCCACTTTTTCTTGTCTATTCATTAAAAGAGTGACCTGAGTTTAGATATATTTATTTAAGTTTAATTGGGATGAAAGTTTGAAGTTATAAATCTCAAGTCTTGCTTTCTGGAAATATAAATATTTACAGTTGTGGGGAAACACAGCCATGAACCCAGTAGTTGACACTTTAACCATTTCACTATCTGTTGAAAATTCTGGTAAAAAATGACTATAACAAGTTTGTAAATATAGTCCAAACAGATGCCATAAAAATCAAACTGTTTCAATTGAAATGTTTTGGCTGTTTTTTGTTTCTTAAAGAAAGGAAATAACAGGTTACAGTCAGACACACAAAAAGAGAAATATTAAAAGTTATGTATAGCATAGTATTTCAACATTTATAACTTTTTCAAATTCTACGAAATACCACAAAATATTTCCAAGTTTATATGAAGGATCTGTAGTGGTGTTGGTAGTTTACCCTCAGGATCACGACAGGATGCCACAATGAATTTATCATAGCACAGTTCAGCCACCACATTGTGAAGGACCTTTTTTTAAAAATCAGCCGGAAAAGGCCTTGATCTGTAGAGAGGGATGATGGCTTGTAGTAAACAAACATGATACACAGATGACAAGCTGGTTCATACACTGTTCATACATGTCAATTTACCTGTAATTTTCATTGAAATGATAAAGGCTTTAAAGATTGTGATTCTGAAACAAGATAAATGGATACACTTGTACAAGTATATCAAAAACTTTGAGTATTTGCTGTATGCCTAATTTTGTTTCATATGCATCTTTTATTGTTCTAATAGTAAATTCAATGTATCATTTGTTTAAATGATACTTTAGTGACACGGATATTTAACTAACATATGGAATGATTGTATTTTAAAGATGGGGATCACCGTAGTGAGAGAGGTTCTGAGCGCAGGGATAGGAACTCTGATCGGCGAGATCGACATTCTGAAAGAAGTTCTCGCAGCTCTAGAGACTGGAATGATACTCCACGCAGGAGAAATGAGCCTGCAACTCCTAATATAAGGCCAAAAGGTTTGTTACAATGATATTATATCAATATATTGAAATAACAGTCAAACTAAAAAGACAACCTGTTAACATTAATGCAAATATCTATAGATTTAATTTTCTAACCAAATATTAGGTACAAAGAAAAACGATACAAGTGGAACAAACATTCAACATAGGAAAAGTTTTAAGGTTTATTTAATGATAACCTACATTTCGCCTCTCACAAGTCTTCATCATAAATTTATTCAAGATATTAAATGGAAATGACCAGGTAGTTTTGTCTTTCAATAATTAGACACGCCATCTAGATCTGCATGGGACGATGATGAGGATTTTACACCTCCAAAACGATCAAGTTGGGATATGTTGACACCTAGTGGATACGATGACCGGGAGAGTGACCTTGATACCCCCTCTGATTATAGAAGATCTAAGAGGTAAGAGTAGCATTTAAATAGGGCATCCTTGACCGAGTGGTTTAAAATGTTGGCGTCAAACTTCTTGGCCCTCACCACTGTGGCTTTGAATCCTGTCAGGGACTTTAGATTCTTCATGTAAAGAAGCTATCCAATTAGCATGTGGAATGTAGATGGTATAAAATTGAACTTTTTGATACAAATGAGTGCAAACTTTGGTTAAGTGTGTAAAAATTGAATGGTGATTAGGGGAGATAACCAAGTTTTTATTAATTAAAACATGAAAATTTTTATTGCCTAAATTTTTAAAAAACCAGCGTATTTGGAAAGTTGTTTTAGTTTAACAATACAAAGTTAGTATTTGAATGGAAAATGAAGGCATAAACATGGATAAAAATATTCTTGAATCTATTCTTAATTCTATTTTAATAAATTTTTTCATGTTTTAATTTTAGTCAAGGATTTTTGTGTCGCCTCTAACGGAGTAGTGGCGACATATAGGATCACTTCTCATCGTCTGTCGTCCGTCTGTCTGTCTGTCCCGTCCCGTCACAAAACCTGTCTGGACTACTGCTCATAAACTACTGGTGTATTTCATCCAAAACTTACAGGAATGATCAGTACCAAAAGTGCAGTTGTGCATATTGTCAGCATTTTCCGGTTCAATGATTTTTGTCAGAGTTATGGCCCTTTAATAATTTTTGATTTTAAAGTTTGTCTGGACTACTTCTCTTATACCACTAATGCAATTTCAATTAAACTTCACAGGATTGATCTGTAGCTCAAGTCCTTGCACATATTGCACAGGTTTTCCGGTTGAATGATTTTTGGCCGAGTTATGGCTCTTTGACAAAAAGGTGTTTTTTTTCAGTGTGTTGCCAGATACACAAAAGCTTGTCCGGACTACTCCTCATAAACCACTTGTGCAATTTTATCCAAACTTTACAGGAATGATCAGTACCAAGTCTAGTTGTGCATATTGTCAGCATTTTCCGGTTTAATGATTTTTGTCAGAGTTATGGCCCTTTAATAATTTTTAATTTTAAAGTTTGTCCGGACTACTTCTCTTGTACCACTAATGCAATTTCAATGAAACTTTACAGGATTGATCTGTAGCTCAAGTCCTTGCGCATATTGCAAGGTTTTTTTGGTTGAATGATTTTTGGCCGAGTTATGGCCCTTTGATAAAAAGGTGTTTTTTTCTTTGTGTTGCCAGATACACAAAAGCTTGTCCGGACTACTCCTCATAAACTACTGGTGCAATTTTATCCAAACTTTACAGGAATGATCAGTACCAAGGGTAGTTGTGCACTGTTCGTCTGTCTGTCTGTTTGTCACAAAATTTGTCCCAACATGAAATTGGCCATCATGAGGCAGCACATGTGATCACTGATGGCTCTTGTTTATACTTGTAGTTCAAGATCAAGGAATTACAGTAAAGAAACACCTTTACCTACCCCGACATACAAATACAATGAATGGATGGATGATAGAAAGAAAATAAAATACACACCTAAAGATTCCAGCAGACAAGGTTTGAGTTTAACTCTTCTTATTATGAATTAAGGTAAGGAATTAGCATGTAAAGCTATAACAGGTAGAACATTGAATTAGTTATCAAGGGGTCTTAGGTTCTGTCTTCAGATGAGACGTCATTTTTGCATGACAATTAATCATAGACATTTGAGCCGCGTCACGACAAAACCAACATAATGGGTTTGCGACCAGCATGGATCCAGACCAGCCTGCGCATCCGCGCAGTCTGATCAGGATCCATGCTGTTCGCTTATAAACCCTATTACAAGTACCGAAACTGATAGCAAACAGCATGGATCCTGATCAGACTGCGCAGATGCGCAGGCTGGTCTGGATCCATGCTGGTCGCAAAGCCATTATGTTGGTTTTGTCGTGACACGGCTCATTTAAAGTCTTATGGTCTCATTCAAAAATCATGTGGAATAAGTGGTCAGTCACTCATTAAGAAATTGGTCATTACATGTACTGTTTTGTTATCCAGGAAAATACTGAGATGTGATGAAAAAAAATGTTAAGATGGTCTAAAAAACCGGAATAACAAACAAACAGATTAGATATTTCTACTAATGTCTCAACCATCATCATTTATTGACCACATATTCCTTTTGCTCTTGCTATAATTTAAAAAGTTTTCACATTGAACTTATAATGCTTATGAACCCCCTTAAATGTCTTGTGAGCTAGTTTAAAACTTTCAATTGTGCAGGGTAAAAAAATTTGCTCAGCATTCTGAGTATTCTTTTGCGTGATGTGATACCATTCTGTTATGTTATTAGTTATAAATTTTTTTGACAGGTTATGGCCCTATATAAATGACTTGGGTTATATTACAATACAAACTACTGTTAACATACAGTCTAATAACCTGTCAAGAATATTTAGAATTTCTAATCTTCATGGATTGAGAGCAGCTGTGCATACAAAACTTTATAATGCTGCACGTTTGTAATGTCGCTTTTCATTGGATAATCATGACGTTTATATAGTTTTATATATACGGCTGTTGTCGATTTATAAAGAAATCTCGCTTTATTCCTCTAAAAATGATGCTTGCTGTATTATAAATTTGTTATAAAGATTGTTGACAGGTTATATGGCCGTATATAATCGGCTGTTTGCAATATAATCCTCGCCTAGCGGCTTGGGTTATATTTACAAACAGCCGTTTAAATAGGGCCATATAATCTGTCAACAATTTTTTTAACTAGTAATATAAACGTCACAATTACCCAATAAAAAGGGAAGTTACAATAGTGCAGTATTATAAGAAAACTTTATAAATGCCTTGATTATCCAATGAAAAGAAATGTTACAAACATGCAGTATTATAGAAATACACAATATTTGTAGAGAGTGAAGATTTAGAGTTCAAGGACGACGACGATAAAGCAGACTGGGAGGAAGAACAGAAGCGACTCGATCGAGAATGGTACGGTCTCGATGAAGGTTACGACGACCAACATAATCCATTCGCTGGCATGTCAGAGAACTATACAAAGAAAAAGGAGGAGGAAATAGAAAAAAGAAAGAAAAATCGAATGTCAGCAAGACAACGTCAGATAAATCAGGTAATTTCCTCACCCTAAAGAATATAGATTTCTTATTTTATTACATATCAGAAGTGCAGATAATCCTTAAATAAATTTCTGACTCTTCACATACGTTATGAGGTTATAGGGAAAAAACTTAAGTTTGTACAGAATATATTTAAGTTTGAGTATTTATGAAGCTACATTTATGCAAAGCTTATAGAAAAACATCCCAATCTTTTATCTGTTAAGTGGCGGCATGACCTAGTGGTTAATGCAGCTGAACTTTAATTTTAAGATCCCTAGCCATCTGGGTTTAAGCCCTGTTAGACGAAAACTGTTGTTTCCTTGGGCAAGAATTTTTACACACATTGCTTAGAGGAAAAACTTTATTAAGCTTTGATGTGATTTGATACAAGTGCATAATTCAGAGTTGTTTTTAGTGCATAAATAATTAATTTGAAATTAATTATACATTTGTATACAAAATGTATATAATTATCCAAATTCAAGCTTCAGCTTTGTCTCCATTTTTATTGAAAGTTTTGTTTTTGAATGATTATTAAAAGTGAAGTAGAATGATAAAAAAATATGATAATAAAATTTAACAAACTAGATTAAATTGTTATTTGACTTGGTCAGAATTTTCTTACTGCAGGATATAGAAAAATGGGAGACAAACAGGATGTTACGTAGTGGTGTTGTGGAGAAGTTAAATTATGATGAGGACTTTGAGGAGGAGAATGAAGCCAGGGTTCATCTTCTTGTACATAATATAGTACCACCATTCCTAGACGGGAGAATTGTGTTCACTAAACAGCCCGAACCTGTTATACCTATAAAGGTAAGTGAACAAAAGTGGCCCCTTCTGCAGTCATCAAAAAATATTTTCAGAGTCACTCATCCTGCAGGTTGAGAAGCTTCTAAATCCAATGTACATGCAACATTTTTCTACTTTTCCTGCATCAAGTTCTCGTAATTACGAGTGGAATTTTCAATCTATGTTCTGTTCTGTTCATTGCAAAGGGAAAGTGTATCAGGATATTTTATGTTAATACCAGAGTCACTTTCAGTAATCACTTTTGTAGATAAGGTCAATTTACTGCCTATCTGTATACTCATCCTATATTTACAAACACAGTTATAATCACTGTAGTGAATAACTAACTGTACATTTTCATTCATCCAGACATAATAATCACTTGACATCATTTTCATTCATTATTATAAGAATTATGGGTAATGTCTTGTTCTTGTTGTGAGTTACTTTGCTCAGTGAACTGTCTCTTGTTATGTTCTTGTTATGTCCTGTGTTATTAAGTGATGTCCAATAAATATCTTGTTAGTCCCCTACCGGTTTACCGGAGGGGACTTTAGGTTTACCCTCCGTCCGTCTGTCCGTCCGTCAGTCCGTCCGTCCACAAAACTGGATCCCGCGATAACGCAAAAAGTACTGAAAATATTTTAATGAAACTTGATATATGGATAGATGGCAGTATGGAGATTATGCACGTCTTTTTCTTTTCTTCCTATGTTGAAAATTCTGGTTGCTATGGCAACAAATAGACTGAAAATATGGCAAATTTTACACATAACCTGGATCCCGCGATAACGCAAAAAGTACTGAAAATATTTTTATGAAACTTGATATATGGATAGATGGCAGTATGTAGATTATGCACGTCTTTTTCTTTTCTTCCTATGTTGAAAATTCTGGTTGCTATGGCAACAAATAGACTGAAAATATGGCAAATTTTACACATAACCTGGATCCAGTGATAACACAAAAAGTACTGAAAATATGTTTATGGAACTTGACATATGGGTAGATGGCAGTATGGAAATTATGCACATCCTTTTTTATCTTCCTATGTTTGAAAATTCTGGTTGCTATGGCAACAAATAGACTGAATTTCAAGATTTCTGATTCTAGTTTTTAAGTTTTTTCACTATAAGTTCTTTATTTCTTAAGGTATTTTCTTCAAACTTTAAATATAAGTTGCTTGTCATCAACCACATCATATGTGACAAGGTTTTACAACTCTAGCACAAAATTTATCAGAATTACCTCCCTTGAACTTAAAATTTTCATGAAAAAAACATTGTTTTTTTTAATAACTTCTTTTTCTGAATGTATCTACTTCAAACTTCATATAAATGTTTCTTATTGTCACTCAACATTTGTGAGTGTTCAATACTCTAGCAAGACTATTTCCAGAATTATGCCCCTTTTGAACTTAGACTTTTTTTTTGAGAAATTGGTAATTTTTACTCCAACTTCTTCAATCATGATAGGATTTTAAAAATGTTATATTTTGATAACAGGGATGTTTAAAAAATAACTTTAGAGTGTCCTTCAGTCCGTTTGTCTGTACATAAAAACTGTTTACTGTGATCACTTTTAAAGAACTTTTTCAACAAATTTACTTAAAATAGGAACCTAAGTGAATGGCCAATGGCCCTTCAGAATGTTGCTTGGGCTCTTACCGGTAGGGGACTTATGGATTGCTTGCAATACTATGATAATTGCTTGTATATTTTTTAAGTAAGAATGTGATTGGATGAGAGTGATTTCATATCATTTTATGCACAGGCAATTTACATTCCTTTTCTAAGAAATCATTGTCAAACTTTGCATTGTAGAGCTAACTGCAGTAGTTCTTTATCGAACATTAATAAATATTGTCTTTATATAAATTAACTTTACGTTTGTTCTTTATAGAACGGATTTGATATATTATTTTATATAACAGAGGTCAGCCAGTTGCGCCTGGTTTTCATTTACACATCATCAAAATAAATATTGAACACCCAGTCAGAGTTGGTCGTATGTTCAATCCAAACCATACTCTACACTTATATTACACACATGGCAATACATGTACTTGTAATTACAACAGTTTTCCATCCAACATTCTCAATTTCTTTGTGAAAACAGAATTTTTTTTTTTTTTTTTTTTTTTTTTTTTTTTTTTTTTGTTAAATTGATCTATTTGGATTTCTAGAGATGAACTGAACTGTTGTATTAGTGATTAAATAAATGTGATACAGGTTTGTAATACCAAAATATCAGACTTCCATCAATTCCTTTTAGTGGGGCGGAAAATTGAGAAAATAGTGCAAATTGTGATACAAGCATGAAACTTTCAGGAAATCATCTTTAGACCATGTAGATTTCAAAAATGAAGTGGGCCCAAAAATATCTCTGCTCATTCAAGATGGCCGCCATTTTCAAAATGGCCGCCATATACATTTGACGTACATACTAGCTCATTCATTCCAATTTTTGGTACAGACCTTTAACTAACACCAAAAGCATGCATATAGTTTCTCTTTTTCAAAAATTTAAATCTTACAAAATTTCTCTGTCATACCTCTTCCAAATCAAAGATGGTGTCCAATATGGCCGTCGATTTTGTGCAAAACTGTTAAATCATTTTTATTGTATAATTTGTTGCACAAATTATGTTTATTATAGTAAAAAGTGTTTAAGCATATCAGAGATAATCAAATCTCAATAAAAGTAAACATTTTAAAAGTTTTTGTCTTAGAAATATCTTTTAGAAAGATCAAGAAAAAATCCATTTTTTTTTCATATTTTTCAAATTTGATTTTCTAAATTAATGTACAAAGTTAAAAAAGTTACTTTATATCTTAAACTGTATTTGACATTCCATTAATATCATGTGTTTATTGTAAAAAAATGTGAGAAAAACATTAAATCTGTAGGTTTTATATTTTGTGAAAGTGGGTGGGGTAATTTTGTATGGTAATTATTGTAAAAGAAAAAACAACAGAAAATAAACATAGCTAAGTTCATTCTATTTCTTTGCCTTTTTACTTTTCTATGAATTCTAATGCAAATAATCCAACTTAAAAAGTAGTTTTTATTGGATGAAAGTATTTTTGTTTTTCTTCGGGCCAAGTGGCTAAGCAAGAAATGCACGTACAAACATGTGTATACATTCAGTTATTAAATGTGGTTGCATGATAATTTTTGTGCCAATATATTTGATATCATATATTAATTGTTAATTGTAAAGTCTTATAAGAAGACAATAAATCAACTAAACGTGCTTAAAATAGCAAGCATGTATAGAATGTAAGGTTTAAAAAGTAGTCCATAAACGCATATTTTTGACTCCTTCACAATTTTATATTTATAATATAAACATGGCTTAAAAGCCAACAAAATGTATATGATACGAAACAGATATATCAATGATATGGCCTGGCCTGCATGCTGTTTTTTTTTGAAAAGTTAAGATACAAACTAAGTGTATTTCCTAAAGTTATCATATCTCATTTTTTTCTTTCAATAAGAGGGCAATGATGACCCTGGATCCCTCACCTAAGATCATTGTTGGAAAAAGGTAACAAGATCATTTTGGGAGTGTCAATTATGTCATAACACACATGATTTGTGTCATAATTGAATCCGGTTGCGTTTAAAGAAACATGCTCAATATCTAGTTTCAATTTTTTTTTCACACGAGAGGACTTTAATAACCATATTCATATATGAGTCCATATAAACTTAGTAAATTTCGACCATGTTGACCATGATATATCAAATATATGTAGAGTATACTACAATTATGATGATACATGATTAATGTCTATGCATCGGATACTGTTGGTTTGGAGAAAATAGATTTAATACATTAGTCTTTGTAAATTAAGTGATACTCATTGCAAAACCATTTTAAACCATTTAGTAGCATCATACAAATTTATGCATGTTATATCAGGCTACATCCCAAATATCTTAGTTAAAGTCATTGTAGTTTAACACTTGATGTTTTAATGTGTTTTCCTATACAAGTCTGTGAACCTAGGTGGCTCTATGACATGATACATTAAATATGTTAATAAAGACACAAGGTGGTGCTACATGCTAAGTACCTGTGCTATGTGCATTTTGATTTTTGAGAAGATTTTTTATTTTGCATGTACACTTAATGATCCAAAAGTGTTTATGTAACTTTAAAAGAGGTCTTCTTTACTTGGCAAGGTTATATGGAGACTATCTAAGCTCTCGGCATTGTAGTTTGTTTGTTTGTTGAGTTTTTTTTTTGAAATAACAACAACAAAAAAACTTCAATAAGATTCCCTACACAGGTCTTTAAAAACTGTGTTCCTCGTGAGGGCCTTTAAATCATGCTCCTGCAGTCCAAAAAGGCTTTACCTGTCACTTTGTTTACATTGACTTATATAATAAAATTCTTCTCCGAAACTACAGTGTATAGAGAAGAAAGTATATCTATATCATCACATTGTGATGCTATATAAAGATTATGAACTATTTTGGCATAGGGTCAAAATCACTTAGTTTACATGGACTCTTATTGGAATATAGTTATATGAGTTTTCTTGTAGTTCTGAGAGCCTAGTTATTGGGCATGTTTCTTTTCAAATAGATTATAAATCATGACTGTATATGTTGAAAAAAGATACTCCTTATATGATTTTAGCATTCTTCAGTATTAAAGAATTATAGACCTTTTCCAGCAGTGGATCTTAGGCGAGTGATCTAGGGTACTGTTTAATGGGGAAAATAAAGTATGAATAAATTTAGTTTATATTCCAAATCATAAGCTATGTTATGTGGGTCAAGCGGTTTTATTGATACCCATTTTAGCACACATAGATAATATGATGTATCAGTCGCCTTAATTTTTGTTTCTTTTGAAAACATCATGTCTACATAAGAAAAAGACAGTACTAACTAAATTATACTTGGTTACAATGATGTGCAAGTAAATATAACTTTCAATCATTTTGTTACAAGCTTTTAGCAAGACTCAATTGTCCAGGAAATAATTTTATTCATAAATAGACAGCATTTCACTCAGGTCCATTCATGATTTTATCTAACATATGGTTCGTTGATGAATATTCAGTCTTCTTTCTGTACAATTATCAAATTTATATTTAGAATATTGAAACAACTTATATCATGCAAACACATTTAATATTAAACTGAATGTATACATATGATTGTATCTGCATTTATTGATATTTTAGTACACCCTCTAGACCTGAAGGAAGACACAAATACCTTAATACAATAAAATACTTTTACAGTGAATATATTTGCATAAGAATTCATAAAAGACGTTATTTTGCACTACAATTGTCTGATAAATTTACCCCACCCACTTTGAATAAGTATAAAACCTTCACATTTTTGTTTTTGTTACAATTATACAATAAAACATAGTGTTGATTCAATATCAAATACACTTTAAGAAACTATGTAACTTTTGGAATTTTGTACATAGACCAAGAAAACCATGTTAGAGAAAAATGCAAAAAAAGCACTTTTTCTTTGATATTTTTAAAGATTTTTTTTTGTACAAAAGACTAAAAACATGACTAACAATGTGGTTAACCTAAAATTTGATTTTTGTTCTAATATGTTTAACATTTTTATATGGAAATAAGCATACTGTCTGCAAACAATTATACTACAAAAGAGATATATAAGTTTTCATTAAAATTGGCAGCCATATTGGACGCCATCTTGGATTCTGAAGAAATATGCAAGCAAAATTGCTTAAAGATTTTAATATTTGAAAAGGAGAAACTATAAGCATGCTTTGGTGTATGTTTCAAGTCTGTACATAAAATTGGAATGAATGAGCTAGTATGTACGTCAAATTTATATGGCGGCCATCTTGAAAATGGCGGCCATCTTGAATGAGCAGAGATATTTTTGGGCCCACTTCACTTTTGAAATCTACATGGTCTAAAGATGATTTCCTGAAAGTTTCATGCTTGTATCACAATTTGCACTATTTTGACAGCAGAGACCTTATTTCCCGCCCCACTATTTTTAGATATCAGAGTTATGACCCTTGCTAAGTGTATGAAACTTAAATGAATTTAACAGAAATGACTTTTATAAAATTTTATGAAAGACACTACAAGAGCAGATGCTTTATCACATATACTTAGAACCATGTATAGGATACTGTAAACTTCGATTGCTACATGCATGACTCAGAATATTCAGTCATGTTTTTGAACATCTGGAAATGCATAGAAAACTATCTTATTTAATATTTGATATTAACTGCTAATGTATGCATTTTTTAATTCTAAATGAGTTTATTTTGTGTCATATTGGAAAAAAATGGTGGATTTTGACTAATGTTTTGTTAGGTGGATTTTGACTTTCTTGATTAAAGATTGAAATAATGTGTACTCTTACCACACTGAATATCTTAAAAAGACTTCTCCATTTTTCCATGTTGATTAAACTATGCTTTTTAGAAAAAAAAATCAAAACATGAAATGACTGATAAGCAATTAGTGCAGACCATGATCAGATGGTTCAGATGTACCATCCATCTGATCTTGGTTTTCACTGGACATATTGGTAGAATCTTTTGCCGCCAGCAAGCTATGGTTGAATTAATGTTTATGACTTTATGTTATGGTAGGATCCTACCTCAGACATGGCAGTGGTATCTAAGAAAGGTTGTGCTGTAGTCAGGGTACACAGAGAACAGAAGGAAAGAAGAAAAGCTCAGAAAAAAGAATGGGAGCTTGCTGGAACAAGGATAGGGGAGATAATGGGGGTCAAGAAAAAGGAAGAAGAGGTACTGTTTTTATTTTCTGGTCCTTTAATTTTAAAAGTTATATACATTGTTTTCTTTGTATTTGGTTATATTTGCTTTATCTTAAAAAACACTTTTTTGATATACCTTGAGCAATGAATGTACATAATATCTTTTGAGTATGAGGAAGATATCAGGTACCTTCAAAAAGGTCAGTAGTACTTATTAGATATCTGCTTGCACTTGAAAAAGAAATACACAGAAAAATGCATAAGACTTGCTTGTTCAATAATTCATAAACTTTTAATCATGTGATCAGGTCAATGTTGAAACATGTATGATTTAAAACCAAATCTGTAAAATAACAAAGTTTAAATTATGCTTGCCCAAAACCGTTTAAAAGAGTGGTGGTGGGTAGTGATGCTCTATAAGCAGATCAACTTTGTCATGCTTTAGTCCTTGACCAAGCACTTTTCTTCAAGGACATGTATTTGAAAAAGCTCTCTACAAATGTATTTAATTTCAACAAAAGGTATAGTTGATTATTTTTGTGTTTCCATGGTAGGATGAACGTGAGGAGAAAGACTACAAACAAGACTACAAGTTTGCTGATTTACTACAAGACAAGACTGACGCTGTCAGTGATTTTGCTAAGAGGAAAACAATGTCACAACAGAGACAGTACCTACCAATCTTTGCTGTCAGGAATGAGGTAAAGAAGCATTATATGTAGCATGTATTACTTCCCTTGGCAGACATTTTGAAGGGTCATTTCCAACATATTATATGCTATAGATAAGGTAAAAATCTCTCTTAATTTCCTTACTTCATGTCAAGGGAGGCAAATATTGTAAAAGACAGGGAACAATATATTATTAAATCATGGTCATGGTACAAAAACTTTCATGTAGCCCATTATTCAAACATTTTAAGAAACTTCGAATATTTGCTTATCCTGACACAGAGTCCAAATTGTTTATTGACAGTTGTTGCCCTTAACAGACATGCCTTTCTACTTCATGTGGTGCTCTTATATAAATAACTATAAATAACCTTAGTGTATTCTTTACAATGTTAAGACAGAATTGTTGTATTTTTTATATATATTTTATATATACATTAAAACATTTTATTTCAGTTACTGAATATTATACGAGATAACAGTGTTGTGATCATTGTTGGAGAAACAGGATCAGGGAAGACAACACAGCTTACACAGGTATAGAATCTTTTTATTACTTGACATTAAGTAACACAAGTAGGCCATTTAAAGCAATATAGGGAAGGATTTAATCTTGCCATAGATAATGAATGTGCTTAATATATAATCTTTTCAACCTCCCGGTGGCTGAGAAGTTTCCTTTAATGGTTGAGGCATCTGAATTTCAGCCACTGATTCACCGTGTATGATCGTATAAGGCAACTAAATGGGTTTGATTTTCTGGATTCTGTGCATCTTATAGCTTTCTGCTGCTTTAAGTTTATAACAACAGAGGTTACTGCCACTCATGAAATATTTATTTTCATACCACTTAAGAAAATTAAATTTTCTATTTACAGAAAAACTTGAATATCCTCTATATATTTTGATTGATACAATGGCAAATGAAACATTTATATTATATTGATCATTCCAGTATTTACATGAAGATGGTTACACAAAGTATGGTATGGTAGGCTGTACACAACCTCGTAGAGTTGCTGCTATGTCCGTTGCTAAGCGTGTATCCGAGGAGCTGGGAGTCAAACTTGGAGATGAGGTCGGCTATGCTATGAGATTTGAGGACTGTACCAGTGAGGTAAGTGTAGAAAAATTCATGCTTGTAATGTATAGATAGATCTGCTTTCAGGCTCAAGAAACTTCACCATTGTTAAAAAAAAAACCCTTAAAACTTAAAATCTTTCTATAGATATCACCTGGGGCATTTAAAACAGTCATGAAATATCATTTTTTTTGTACCATTCTGCGCCAAATTTGTTTTTAAAACGCTTTTTCAAATATGAGTCATTTTACGCAATAAAAATGATTTGATAAAAAAAATGGAGTAAGTGAATGATCTGAAATTTTGCACACATGTTATTTGTCTCGACTTTCATCAAATGGTTGTGTAAAAAAAAACTTCCTTTAACATAACCATTGTTGTTGCTGGAATTCAAATCGAGTCATTAAGCAATGATTGCCTTAACTGCCATAGTTAAATATTGTGAACATTATTTTAGCTTGAACCCTTTGTCACACAAAGGTCTTACTCTGTATCCCAGTAAAAGCTGGGGGAAAAAACAGTTTTGCCAGGTTAAGAAGTATCTATATAAATACAATATGACTTATAAGATTTGATTGTTTTAGCTTGTTGGTAAATATAAATAACTTCCTTAGCCTATAGCTCCTATACTGTTTTAATGCTTATATAATAAAGTTCATTTATCTCAAAGTATATTACCTTCTGTAAATTCTGCAAATCAAATATGAAGATTGACGCAATAAAAAGATGACATGTTTTTGACAAAATCAAAATAGTGCGTTTGCGACCAGCATGGATCCAGACCAGCCTGCGCATCTGCGCAGTCTGATCAGGATCCATGCTGTTCCCTTACCAACTCTATTACAAGTAGAGAAACTCATAGGGAACAGCATGGATCCTGATCAGACTGCGCAGATGCGCAGGCTGGTCTGGATCCATGCTGGTCGCAAACCTGTTATGTTGGTTTTGTCATGACACGGCTCAAATGAAGTCATGTGTTGATTTTAGAATACAATGATCAAGTATATGACAGACGGTATATTGTTACGTGAATCTTTGAGGGAGTCAGATCTGGATCATTACAGCGCTATAGTGATGGACGAAGCTCACGAACGTTCCCTCAACACAGATGTACTGTTCGGACTGTTAAGAGACGTAAGTATATTGTATGATACTTACATGATATCATGATGTAAGCAGGAAATCAGTAGCTTGCTCTAGTGGTAACTTTGTCTGACTATTAATCCAGATATTTCAGGACTTTTTTCAACCTTTTGATCTTTCTATACCATAGCTAAAGAAAACCTTAGTTTGTACAGAATTTATTTTACATTGATAAAATATTGTAAACCTGTCATTGTGTTGATGTGTATTACTCTCTTAGCTTGAACTTTTATTGATTGAGAATTTACTTTAGTTAGATTGTGTAGGAAGATGAATCCTTTCCTGGAACCAACCAGTACTGAGCAATGAATGCTCAAGGAAACAAAGGATAACCTATAATAGGGTTTGAACCCATACAGCTAGTGATCCATGGATTACATTTTTGATATGTTTACCACTTGGCCATGCTGCCACTGCCAAAAAGGAAGAAAACCTTGATTATCTATTTTCAGCAGTTTGTTACAATAAAGCATCGTAAAATTATGTTACATGTTAATCTTGTTTATAAATTATTGCCGATCAATTTATTTCATTGTACATGAATTCGTGAAATTCTAAAACTTGTGAGATTTTTATTTTAGGTAGTTTCTAGAAGACAGGACTTAAAGTTGATTGTAACCTCGGCAACTATGGATGCTGGAAAATTTGCTCAGTTCTTTGGCAATGTGCCAACGTATACAATTCCGGGAAGAACGTTTCCTGTGGACATCCTGTATGCCAAAAATCCCGTGGAAGACTATGTTGATGCAGCTGTCAAACAAGCATTACAGATCCATTTAATGGGGCTTGAAGGTATATAGTATTTGTGCTCCTCTGTGGCCAAGTGTTACCATCTCTGACTTTAAAACACTTGCCCTTCACTGCTGTTGGTTCAAATATCAAAAGGATTTTGGATTCTTTAATGTGAGGAAGCTTTCCAGCTGCATTATGGGACATCAGTGGTTCAACTCATATGCCTCTGCTTTGTATCTGAATAATGCACAGAGGGTAACCTAAGGTCGTCTTTCTCCAGTAAAGCTGGAAAGTTGACATTGACCTTTTTTCTCACTCTTTGACATTCATTTTGGGGCTTTAACAGTAAAAAGATGTTAGTCAGTTTACTTTGTTCTCTGTTCACATTAGAATCCTAGATTGAAATTTCAGCATAGCAAGACAGTATATAATGGTATAGAACTATTCACCTTAAGTTCAATTGTTAGAGAACATTCTCTGGTTCGAGTCTCCAACAGGATGCACATGTTTTTCTCAACATTTGAAACTATTGTATACATGTATAAAGATGAGCTTTTGGTCAAGTTCTTTTTCAAAATCCTATGTACTTTTGGGAAATACATATTTGAAGCTCGATCAAATTTTACTTTACTTTAACCTTTATTTACTGTTTATATGATGCTATATTTCTATCATTTCAGGTGATATCTTAGTGTTCATGCCAGGTCAAGAGGATATTGAAGTCACATGTGAGTTATTGGGAGGTAAGTGACCTGCTTCAGTAAGTTCAAACTGAGTGATTTTACCTCATTTGAGTGAAAACTTGTAGTTCATTTCAGACACTTTCGATTATGTTTCCAGGAATGAACCAGTACTGACCTTGAGGTTATAAAACTCTATTTTAAGGTTTGTCTCAAATCTCAGGACATTCATTGGTCACTGTATATTCTGTGGAAGTTTCTGACCAATCAAATACCAGAGATTAGAGTTTCAGTTTGTAATCTCGGACCCAGGCCTGGATGTTATAAAAAAATGCTACCCTGAGAGTTGTCATGGATCTCAGTGTTTTTCATTGGTCAGTGCATATTTTTGTGCTTATATTTGGCCAATCATATACCTGAGTTTCAGCTCACAAAAATTCTTTATAACCTCAAACCCTGGTGTTGTAACAAAAAAAGCTTTGTTTTGGTCGTAAAGTTGTGATTCAGACTCACTCACCACTCTTCATGTGCATGAGATGAAAAATATTTTGTGATTCAAGTGTGCATGGGGACTTAACACCCAGTTGCAACTGTAGTTGACTGTTAGTTTTTAATTGATGATGATTTTGTACAATGAATGAATTACAAAGATAAATAATATGTGAGAGGAGCCTTTATTGACAAAAAAGAATTTATGTTTCATAAAGAAATATTTGAGCCGCGTCAAGAAACCAACATTGTGGGTTTGCAACCAGCATGGATCCAGATCAGCCTGCGCATCTGTGCAGTCTGATCAGCATCCATGCTGTTCGCTATCAGTTTCTCTACTTGTAATAGAGTTGGTAAGCGAACAGCATGATGGCTCATTTATATACCTTAATTTTTTTTTATATCTGTTCAAGCAATAGGCTATATTGGTTATAGATGACCTGTCTATGTATTCAGTGTGAACTTCACTGTAAAAATCTGGTGTATTCAGTTAAAAAGCTACATTTTATTAAAATTGTAATCTTTTTCTTTTAAAAAAGAGAGAAAAAAATTATCATAACAATCTATGTATCTTTTTATCATATTCAGAGAGACTAGAAGAATTAGATGAAGCTCCTCCCCTAGCAATTCTACCCATATATTCCCAGTTACCTAGTGATCTCCAGGCGAAAATTTTCCAGAAAGCTCCAGATGGAATAAGGAAATGTATTGTAGCCACAAATATTGCTGAAACATCACTCACAGGTAAAGTTATGGTACCTTCAAAGAATTGTCTTTTATATTTGAAAATAAAAGCAGATTGCTTTATGAAAAAGTGCCTGTGTTTAACAAAAATACATGTATACCTTAAGATATAGATTTTCAGTTGGTATAATCCTATAGGGGATTTTGGCTTCCTCCATGTAGAGAAATTATACAAAATTGATGCATGGACAAGCACCTGATGTATTCTTTTACCAAAAGCTTGACAGCTGCCATATGACCTTTTTCAGTGTGGGTGCATCTGAAAATCACCACCCCCACAAAAAAAAAAAAATAAATAAAAAAAAATGTTTAGATAAAACAATCTGCTATACTGGCAATAATATAAATAAATGCAATACTATTTCAGTATGATTACTTTCTTTGTGGAACACCTATGTTTTTTTATACATGTACACTCTTTTGAAAAAATTGTGGAAATGCCCATTGCAGGTTCTGACCAGTTTGTCAGGAGCATATCTTCTACAGGAATAAAGGGATTTAGTATTACTTGATATAAATGTCCACCATCATGACACTTAGTGATGCTTGCAAAACATCTGCATGCCATAATGGTTTTTAATATAACTTGGTACAATGTTTACCATTGTTATATTGAGTGTTTCATGTAAAATTCAGGTCCCTTTGGCTAGGGTCACGGTCATATGCAGAGGTCAGAATAAGAATTTAGAATGTGTGCATGGGCTTTTTAGACATGATCACTTCTAATGTAAAAAGTTGGCCATTATGGGTAATGTTTTGTGACTGGAGTATTTTATAACAATGGCAATCTTGTTATTTTTAGCTCACCTGTCACAAAGTGACAGGGTGAGCTTTTGTGATCGCTTTTCGTCCGGCGTCCGTAAACTTTTACTTTAAATGACATCTCCTCATAAACCACTAGGCCAATTTCATCCAAACTTCACAGGAATGTTCCTTTGGTGGTCACCTTTAAAAATTGTTCAAAGAATTTAATTCCATGCAGAACTCTGGTTGCCATGGCAACCGAAAGAAAAAACTTTAAATATCTTCTTTTAAAGAACCCAAAGACCTAGAGCTAAGATATTTAGCTTGAAACATGTTCTAATGAGTGTCTACCAAGTTTGTTCAAATAAAAGCCCTGGGGTCAAAATTGGCCCCGCCCCAGGGGGTCATTGATTTTCCCTATATGCATATAGTAAAAACCTAAAAAATCTACTTTTAAAGAACTCAAAGAGCTAGAGCTAAGATATTTAGCATGAAACATGGTGTAATGGGCGTCTACCAAGATTGTTCAAATAAAAGCCCTGGGGTCAAAATTGGAACCGCCCCGGGGGTCATTGATTTTCCTTAAATGTGTATAGCAAAAACTTAAAAAATCTTCTATGAAAAAACCCAAGTAGCTTGTGTTTAGATATTAAGCATGAAACATCTTCTAGTGAGTGTCTACAAAGTTTGTTCAAATAAAAGACCTGGGTTCAAAATTGGCCCCGCCCCGGGGGTCATTGATTTTCCTTATATGTGTATAGCAAAAACTTAAAATCTTCTTTGAAAAAATCCAAATAGCTAGAGTTTAGATATTAAGCATGAAACATCTTCTAGTAAGTGTCTACAAAGTTTGTTCAAATAAAAGCCCTGGGGTCAAAACTGGCCCCGCCCCAGGGGTGTCATTGTTTTTAACTATATGTGTATAGTAAAAACTTAAAAAAATCTTCTTTTAAAAAGCCCAATGAGCTAGAGCTTAGATGTTTAGCATGAAACATCTTCTTATGGGTGTGTGTGGGGGGGGGGGGGGGGGGGCTATATACAGGTGAGCGACCTCAGGGCCATCATGGCCCTCTTGTTTATGTAATCAATTATTTATGTAATAGAAAATATTTCGTTCTCTTGTCTTATATAACAGTTGATGGAATCATGTTTGTAGTGGATTCGGGTTACTGTAAACTTAAAGTGTTCAATCCTAAAGTCGGTATGGATGCCCTTCAAGTGTTTCCTATTAGTCAGGTAAGTTTGCTTTGATTGGCTTAATTTTATCTGTTAATGTAAAATTCTAAATATATATACAAACATAGGTAATACATGTTTTTAACTGCTTTTGTAAAACCTGGTAAAATTTGGTAAACCAGTTCATGTGTGATTGTTTGGTAAACTTTTCATATTTAGAAGATTTCTCGTTAAATTAAATCCATGTTTCAGAGATGGGTCACACATTAACAAAACATAAATCAGAAACAAAATGGCTGACATTTGTATGCTTGGTCACTGTAAGGCTGAAATTTTGAAAATTGAAATTTTATTTTTAAAAAAAACACTGAGTAAAGACAATCAATTCAGTTCTGAGCCACAAGTAAAGTTGTTATGAAGACCAGCAAGAGCAAGTACATTGTCAAAGAACTATAACTCTATCGTCCTTTATTTCTGAATTACCTCCCTTGAATTAATAATGTTTGTATGGATTATACATGTAACTCCTAAACTATCAATAATATCTACTTGACATTGCATGCAGTTATAGAGATTAGTGAGCAGAGTGCAACTTAAGGTGACAACAGACACTTTCCGTGGTACTCACATAAATGTCATTTAAACAAAGTTATTTTAGTAATAATTGTTATTTATTTAATCTTTGTGCATTAAATGTCGTTGATCATCATAAAAAATAACATATTTGAAAAAAATGCCTTTGTAAATGATTGATTTTGAATAAAAATCCTAAAATTTTAAATCGTCATATCAAAGTCATTTTTTAATTTTTTTGTCATCAAACTTTTTGAAAATAACCACACTTATATTATCTAGGGAACCGTGTCTCAAATTTTTTCCATCTTTTCTCAAAAAAATATTACGTAACGTCAAACATTTTATGCGACTTTTTTCACCATACATATTACGTAATTAAAGATAATTAAGTCGCCTATTGAGCAAACAAAAATCCCTGGCACGGTTCCCTCCGTAAATGAATTTCCTTTCATGTGCTTTAAACCGCATGCTAATTGCTTGATTATTAAAAAAGTTATGCCGATTCAAAGTTAGTCCGACCCGCATCAAACGAAGTGTCATAAATCGGCTGTTCTCTCTCTCGGACCCCTACGTTTCACGCTAAATAATTGCATAATACACAAATATCGCACCAGAGAGGGTCACAAGTTGCGGTAACATACTCTAACAACATTTTATGACCCAGTGACATCTGACCAATTAAAAAGCTGCTGATTAATATCAGTTTATAGCTGAAATTTCTTCAATTCTTAACGTGATTTACTGATCGTCTGGTATCTGTCTCACATGTCACGTGACTATCGGTAAAATTTGAGGCACTCAGTGGGGGGAAATGGAACGCACTTGCGCACCGCTAGCGGGGTATTTAATTGTTTCCTTTTTGAAGTTTATTATTATTATCATTAGCATTATTATTGTATTTTACCAGTATCACTCTGCCTGTGTATTCGTGTATGAAATTCCGTTAAAATATAAAATAAAATAACAAAAAACTAAGCTTGTGACAGTCTTTTAAAGTCCATGGTAGATGTACAAATAAGCACGGGATATTATATATTTTTTCCACCAAATTGATAATGCTTCACATATTTTAATAGAAATAAAAGGTATTACTAGATCATTATGATCTGGCCTTCTTGACTTCTATTATGAATATCATCTATGCACGGCATAGAGATCCAGTTTCTACCGGGATAGACAATAAATTTCATACTTTGTCCCAGATTTATTAGTACTGTGTCCGATTTACTGGCGAAGAATTTATTTTCACTGAGAATATATTTTAATATCTTTTTTTTTATTTATAGAGAAATAATCATCCTTAGACAATCTAAAATGGTTTAGAAATTTGTCAGGGACACCTTTCCACAAGTCACATAGGCGTTCACATATAAAAATGTTGTCTGTTTTTGTTGTTGTTTTACTTGACATTGTTAGAAAACGAGGTTGAATGTAAAGTAAGCCCTTGAATCCGTACAAAAGTCTATCAACTCAACGTAATATCTATCAGATTAACGGGACAGACAAATTATTTTCACACATTATGGATATTTTAGCAACTACATTTTTAATCAACCCCGTGGTCGTGCGATTTGCCGCTATGCTTAATTATTTATGTTTCATACATTATGTTACGTACATTGGCCGACAATTTCTTAATTTATAAAAAAGGCTAAATGTTGAGATATTCATAAAAGATGTACCTTAGTTGTACGATACATGTATTACGAGAAGTATGGACCAGTATGGACCTGTAATTCACGGATATATGGAACTACCGATTTCCCTCATTGATGCCTCAACAGGGGGCGGAGCGTTATCAATAATCGACAGGTTACGCGAATAGCAGATACAAATAGTATAGGTTCCGTTTTAAAACGTTTAAAAACACATTTTTTTGACTAACTGCTTCCAAAATTAAATCACAAATGTGTTCAGAAAAGGTTGATAAATCTTCTTAGCAAAAAAACTCATTTTAGGTATTTTCAGAGATAATTGACTCCGTTGTCACCTTAAAAGAACTTACTGTACATTTCTTAGTTATTGAATCTTCTCCCTATATTATACCTAACTCATTTTGAATCATCTCCCTTTATGATACCTTACTCATTTTGAATTATCTCCCTTTATAATCCTTACTCAGAAGTATCTCCCCTTTCTCATTACGAATAATATCCCTTAATAATACCTTATTCATTTAGAATAATCTCCCTTTATTATACCTTACTCATTTAGAATTATCTCCCTTTATAATCCTTTACTCATTTAGAATTATCTCCCATTATAATACCTTACTCATTTTGAATTATGTCCCTTTAAAATACCTTACTCATTTAGAATTATCTCCCATTATAATACCTTACTCATTTTGAATTATCTCCCTTTATAATACCTTACTCATTTAGAATTATCTCCCTTTATATTACCTTACTCATTTTGAATATCTCCCTTTATAATCCTTACTTTATTTAAAATTATCTCCCTTTATAATTCTTACTCATTTAGAATTATTTCCCTATATAGTACCTTTCTCATTTTGAATTATCTCAATTTATAATACCTTACTTATTTTGAATTATCTCCCTTTATAATCCTTACTTATTTGAAATTATCTCCCTTTATAATTCTTACTCATTTAGAATTATTTTCCTTTATAATATCTTACTCATTTTGAATTATCTCAATTTATAATACCTTACTTATTTTGAATTATCTCCCTTTATAATTCTTACTCATTTTGAATTATCTCCCTTTATATTACCTTAACTCATTTTGAATTATCTTTTTTTATAATACCAAAAGTCCTTTCTCATTTAATTTGAGCACTGACTATAGGTATTGTCTGTATTGAGGGTTGACAGTATAAGTGCAGTAACTTGTGTAACATAAAGACAGACTTACAAGAACTTCCAACAGTTATGCGACCCTTTTTATCCTTAATTAATTGTACACCCCCACCCATAATAAACCATGTTGTAAATGGGTGTAACCTACAACATTCACTGTATCCTGGCTACCAGTCTAGACAGCTTGATAAAACCAGCTCTGCATGTTGCATAACCACTGCGGTATACCATACCCCGGATATTGCTCGATATTATGAGGACTTTCATCCCATTTCTCGACTTTGAACGGGGAACGAAGGTAAGTTCAGCGACGATATTTTACAAACTAATGGCTATTTCATTTGTCTAAACGAGTTTTATATATCTAGAGGTATTTTTGTAGCTCTAAAAGACATAAAAATATTACAGCTATTTGTAAAATTGATTAAACTACCCCTAAACGATCCGCTGCTCACTAGAAAATACTGACCGCGATACTGTAGAATCGTTAGAAATTATTATATTACCAATATAAAAAAAATTGAATCGAGCAATTTTTTTACTCACAATCCAAGTATGCCTTGTCCAAATTTCAGGCAAAAAGTGTGAAAGTACAAAAAGATACAGGCCAAAAAAGATACAAGACAGTGTACCGAGTATTGATTTTAAGTGTACAGAGTATTGCAAAATAGCCCAACTTTAGTGTACAGAGTATTGCAAAACAGAATGAGCACATTAGTATGGAAACTCGATATTTTTGTCTAATTTTTACGTCTGTTTATCGATTTTATTTCATTTTTCTGATGATGTACTTGTTTATATGATATTTATTCAAATATTTCAGATTCAACAGTGCATTTTCAGTGTTATTACTGTTCTTTTCCTACGGGCAAATACAGAGATTTAATTTCCAATTTGGTTGAAAATCACACTATGAATGAAATAAAGTGTGCGCGGGGACGGAAGCAAGGTAGAACCATCAAAATTGACGATAAAAAACTTTAAATACATGTCTCAAGACACTTTGATCAAGGAGACCCATCTCTGAAATGGACAAGAATAAAAAAAAAAACATATTTAGATGACATTAATAATAGGTTTTATAGGGCAAGTTTGCCTTAAGAAACATATCGACGAAATTAATAAAATATTGGCCCCAGGGCTAATGCCGTCCAAGCATGCCGGTATCGTCTTAACCTTTTACTGCATGAGCATAATGCGAAAAATGGCTGTTTTCAAGCCTCTTGTTACAACTTCAAACTGCTATGAAACTATAAAAAATGCTTCAATACTGATCAAAATCAAACTGGGCACGAATATTAGCGGGACCATAGCCTGTGGAATAGCATGCTCAATTTTAAATTTCCAATTATCATGGCAACGGGGTGGGGGGGGGCGTCTCAAAATTGCCAAAAACCTCTATTTTGCGTTGTTTTTTTCCCATCAAAACTGATTTCAAGGTGCACCAACTTCTCAATTGATTGATATAAAGTCTTAGGTTTTTGGCGTTTATTACACGGTACGTTTAAATCGACCTGAGGCCATTTAGCCCCCCACAAGTCCCAAGTCTTCTCGGCGATTAGAGGGGCTACTGTCCCACTTCAAACCCCCAAACAGAAGGGGGCACATCCCCTACGTAATCCCCTTGATGTACCTTTTTAATGGGGGTGGCGCCGAAAA